CAATGGTGTCTCCAGGAGCCAAAATTCTCATGGATACCTATTTTATAAAGAGAAAGCTTATTTTGGGTTGGATTAAAAGGCTTTTCTTCTTTGATGTTATTTTATTTTTTATTTTTTCTTACATTGAAAAATTTTGCTCTTAATTACATTAAAAGAATTACATGTTTTGCCCTATAATGTACATTAGTTGAGGAATAATAACATCGACGTTATTACTGACAATGTGTTTACTGAAAATGGCTTAAGACTTTTTTGGCAGCTCTTTTTGTCTTTAGGGCAGACATAGAGGGAACCTACAGTCACATTTCAGTGCCTTAAAGTCACTTGGGGATGGTCTCTGTGTGATTATACCACCACCTGCATATGAACAGATTTGTTTGTTCTATTTGTCTTTTGCTTTATAGGGGCTGCTATAAAAACTTTCTAGTTTTGTTTTACAATTATCAAAAACATTTACATATGACAATATTGAATTTTACTTGAGCCTGGTGCTCCTGGAAAACAGTGAAGGTTAAAGGAATTCCCCCTGCCAGGTGCCGTGGCTCAATCTGTAATCTCAGCACTTTGGGAGACTGAGGCAGGAGGATCCCTTGAGGCCAGGAGTTGAAGACCAGCCTGGGTAAGCCAGGTGTGGTTGGACACAGCTGTAATCCTAGCTACTCTGGAGGCTGAAGTGAAAGGATTGCTTGAGCCCAGGAGTCAGAGGCTGCAGTGAGCCATGATTGCGCCACTGCACCCCAGCCTGGGTGACAGAGTAAGACCCTGTCTCATAAAGCAAAACAAAACAACAACAAAAAGCCAAAACAAGAGATTATCCTCACACTTTTGTTGTCCAGGAAAACAACATGCTGCAAAAGACCACCTTTCCCCATATGACTTTGCATTAGTCTGTTCTCATGCTGTTAATAAAGACATACCCAAGACTGGGTAATTTATAAAGGAAAGAGGATCAATGGACTCACAGTTCCACATGGCTGAGGAGGCCTCACAATCATGGTGGAAGGCAAAGGAAGAGCAAAGGCACGTCTTACATGGTGGCAGGCAAGGGAGAGTGTGTGCAGGGGAACTCCCCTTTATAAAACCATCAGATCTCATGAGACTTATTCACTATTATGAGAATAGCATGGGAAAGACCTGCCCCCATGATTCAATTACCTCCCACTGGGTCCCTCCCACAACATGTGAGAATTATGGAAATTACTATTTGAGATTTGGGTGGGGACATAGCCAACCACATCAGACTTCCATAAGGCCCAGGGATGTCCCCCTTATTTATCTATGAAAGGCCAGTCACAGACCCTCCAGATTTCCATTCTTTGCCTCGTAAATGATTAGCTGAATGGCCTGTTCCCACTGATCCATGGAAATAAAATGCTTACTAGCCAGACTTACCTAAGTTTCACTCCTTCCTCCTGGACCCTGAACTTTGACCAACTCTCAGCCTGAGCCTGCAGGCAGCCCCTCCAGAGCAGAGACTGCCTCAGGGTGACATTTTCTGATGTATTTATCTGATCATATCACCCTTTCATCCCACTTGCCACACCTGGCTCTTTCTAGCCTTGTTCTCTCTACAAAAGATATCGTCTTTCCACCTAACCCTCAAGACCCTTGCAGATGGCATGGTAAAGCCTTCTCCATTTTGCAGTGGTCTCCATTCCAGCCCCTGTTGCAGTAGCCACTTTCCTCCCTTGCAAAAATCTTTCAAATAGGTCTCTCCCCACTGGGTCTGGATTTGTGTTTTATTTGACACGTGCTTGCAAAGTCAAATCTACAAGACAAGACACATTTCTGAGCAGACGGGCTTTTATTTTTTTTTTATTATTATTATTTTTATTATTATTATTTTTTTTGAGACAGAGTCTTGCTCTGTAGCCCGGGCTGGAGTGCAGTGGCTGGATCTCAGCTCACTGCAAGCTCCGCCTCCCAGGTTTACGCCATTCTCCTGCCTCAGCCTCCCGAGTAGCTGGGACTACAGGCGCCCGCCACCTCGCCCGGCTAGTTTTTTGTATTTTTTAGTAGAGACGGGGTTTCACGGTGTTCGCCAGGATGGTCTCGATCTCCTGACCTCATGATCCACCCGTCTCGGCCTCCCAAAGTGCTGGGATTACAGGCTTGAGCCACCGCGCCCGGCCAGCAGACGGGCTTTTATATCTATCTCCCACTCTCTTCCCCTGGTGGCTTCCTTCTCCCTCTAGGAAACCTTTTTCCTTTTCTTGGTTTATCTCTTCATTAAAAATATGACAGTAGGATTCTATGTTGTATCCTCTTTCCTTTTGTTTAAGAACAGTGGTAGCCAATTGTACCCACCTGCTTCCATTTGCAGGTAAGAGCCTTGCCCTCTTCAGTCCTCTGTGACTCTGAAAAGCCGTCAGCAAGGAGACCAGTGGCTGCTTTGCCCTAAGGGTTCTCGATGAGATGAAAGCGCTTTGTAAACCAGTGGGCCTCAAACTGGAGTGTGCACCCGTCACCTGGGGGTCCTGTTCATAGATCCCACCCAGACTCCTAACTCAATAGGCTTGGCGCAGGGAGCAGGAATCTGGATCTCTCAGAAGTTCACAGGGCTGCTGCTGCTGCCTGTAGGCGTGAGGGTGTCAGACTTTGAAAACTACTGGTATCAGCTCCCCTCAAGGGCAGGGCAAATGTTGGTGAGTATTAATAAAACTTCTGTACCACAGAATGCAGGACCTGGTTTGAATATAGACCCAGCCTGCCATTCCGGTTTGGGGCTTTCTTTCTTTTTTTCTTTTTTTCTTTTTTTTTGGGGACAAAGTCTCAGCTCTGTCCCCCAGGCTGGAATGCAGTGATGCAATCTTGGATCACTGCAACCTCTGCCTCCCGGGTTCAAGGGATTCTCCTGCCTCAGCTTCCCGAGTAGCTGGGATTACAGGTGCATGTCACCACACCCAGCTAATTTTTGTAGTTTTAGTAGAGTCGGAATTCCACTATGTTGGCCAGGCTGGTCCCGAACTCCTGACCTCAGGTGATCTGCCCACCTTGGCCTCCCAAAGTGCTGGGATTAGGCATGAGAAACGGTGCCTGATCAGGTTTGGGGCTTTCTAAGGCCTCTCTACTCAAAGTGTTGTCTGAGGACCAGTGGCTTCACCCAGGAGTACTTAGAAGTGCAGACTGTCCCCTACCCCAGACCCGCCGAATCAGATTCTAGTTTATCAAGATGCCAAGTGAGTCAGAACTCCTCAAGCATGAAAGGTGCTGCCTTCTGCGCCTTCTGGTTTACCTGCCAGTAGTTGATGCCTCTAGAGTGCAAACTCTAGAACTCACCCCATGGCCTGCTGAATGGGTTTTTCCTGCTTTTCCCCCAAGACAGCCAAGCCAAGTCCCCATGACGACTGGCCCATGCCTGGGCAATGTTTGGCTTGGCAAACTTCTGGGCAAAGTGGTACCAGGAGCCCTGCCATGCTGTGGCTCAAGGGTCTATTCCCAGGGCCCCAGTTCTCCCTCCTCTTCACGGTCTCTGGGCATGGCAAGTGGATCCCAATGGCCTTAAGGACCGCCTCCCAGAGGGGTTCTGGCCTGGAGCTCTCTGGGGCCTGGGGATGATGGCTTTGAGCCTTTCCTGAAAATGAGTTAGATGGAGGCTCTTTTGATCCCCTCACCAAATCCACAGTTGTCTGGTGTGGACAGGATGGGCATGGGCCTGAAAGGTGTGGAGGTGAGAGGTGGGTGCTCCTCCTGCCCAGCCCACTCCATCTGCCTGGGAAGGGGCCAAAGCTGCTGGGCAGGGCAGTGTAAATGGTGAGCGGGGCTGGAGTCATGTGGCTGGCGCTTCTCCCGCTGACACCCTGCCTGTCCCAGGAGAGACGGCAACTTCTGTCTGCCTGGAGGCTGGCTTGGGCAGTGGAGGTTCTGGAGTGGTGAAAGCCCCAGAGACACAACTGGGCCCTGAGGAGAGATCCTCCCCGTCCCTGTTCTGAGATCAGAGCATTTCCTGCTCCACTACTGTGTCTTCTGCCCTTGAAGGCTTCCCACATGGTCGGCAAATCCTCGGCCATGAGTTCCCTCCACTCTTCCATCCTGGGAGAGCCCCTTCCTCATCCCACCCTCACTGCCAGCCGGCCCCTCTTTCTCTCTGTCCAATTCCACAGGGTCCCCCAGTAAGCAGATTCTTCCCCAGGCTCCAGGCCTGGCTGGAGTGTGGCTCCAGACAGGGCTGGGTGTGAATGAGTGTGAGGTCAAGGCCAGGCCCCTGCTCAAAGCCAAGGCCTCTGTGCTAGGTGGCACACGAGTTCCCACTGAATCCTCCAGCAGCCCCATCACTGAGGTGTGATCCCATTTACAGATGAAGACACCGAGGCTCAGAGTGGCCTGTTTACGGTGATATCATCAGTAGGGTGTCGGCTGAGTCCAAGCCCTGCTCATTCTATTTATTGTTGTTTTTTTAAATTTTTACCTTTATTTTAAATATAAACATCTCAGAGTAAGCCCTGTTCATTCTAACAGCTAAGGCGAGCAGGTGGAGGGAGACAGAAGAGGTCTTGGGTCCCAGATTGGGAATCCCCGTTCCGAAGTGCGAGGGCCGCTGTGCCTCACTGGCTGCTCCATGTTCCAGCATGTGCCTGGCACGGTGAAGCCTGGACAGCCAGAATGGCCCCCTCCGCAGAGCCTGCCTCTTCTGCATAAAACCGGGCAGGGGGGACCTACAAATGCGCCGTTTGGTGTCATGGTGCTGGCACTGACTCGAGCCCTTGTCGCCCAGCTCCTCCTCGGTGCCAAGTGGCCGGAGCACTTCTAGAACCATTTGCTGGGCTTGAGATCAGAAGCCAATGGCTTGGTAAGAATTCAGGTTTTCTTGGGCCCTGCCCACTGGAGCTGGGCCATCTGTGGGTAGTTCAGGGGGTGGTCAGTGCGGGGTCCGGGTTTGGGTGGGTTCCACTGTCAACCTTAGGAAAGGGTTAACCCAAAGGCCACAGGTATCTTGGGGACAGCTGTCGTATGCAGAAGAAACAGAACAAGAGCTCAGCAGCAGGAGAGAGACGCCATGCTATTTCAATTAAGGAATTTATTTCTCTTAAAAACAACAAGAGTGGTTCCATCTAGATCCAGCGGCACTGTGACACGGTAGACGGAACACACAGAGTTAGAGCAGTGGGAGAATGGAAGCCGCTGCCTTCAGGAGTGACCGCCACCATGGAAGTTTCCATTCATTAATGTCCAAATCTCCCTGAAAAAAAGTTAGAAAGTTTTGGATGCTAGAAGGATTATTATTATTTAACAACACCAACAGCCACTAAACTCTTCTAATTGAGAACACTTGCTTAGAGACTGTTACAAAAATGACTTCTTGATGGACTGGGGAAAGACGTCTAGATTCCACTTCGGGGGAAGTGTCTTTCTCTGCCAGGGAGAGCTGGCTTTTCAAATGTTTTCAATCACTGTCTCCGGCACAAGCCTTTATGTTTAGGCCAGGTGAGACACCCCCAGCCTGTGCAGGGTCTGACTTGCACATGCTGAGCTTCAACAGCTGGGTGGTGGGTGGGGAGGGCAGGTGCAGAAGGGGTCTCTGGGAGAGGAGGCTTTGCGGTCGTGGTCTACTGTGATCAGGAAGATGGAAGCTCTCTGTGTTCATAATTCACACAGCGATGTCACTTCCAAATGCACAAAGACTTCGTACTCACTATCTTTCCACAGCCAGGGCTAAAAAGTTCGAAGATCCCATCTCAGAGTGTCGGGTTATGAAAACAGGAGACCACCTCTTGGAAATACAGGTATTCAGAAGGATGTGCATGCATACCAGGGGACCCCAGAGGACAGCTGAGTGTCACTCAGGCATTTCCTCTTCTTCTCAGAGATTGCCGATTATCCAGGAAGCCACCGTCCCCTTTGGCAAGGCCTGGGATGCCAGGCTCAAGGAGGTGGCAGTGCCCCCTCCGTTTTGAGGGCAGCAGCTCAGTGGGGAAGTCGATGGGTAGCTGGAACTGACAACCGAGGCTTTGGGGAAAGGACAGGGTGTGGAGGAAGAGGAGGGATTTCTACAGTGGGGCCAGGCTCCTAGGAGAGACATGGAGATTTCCCGGTTTCAGGAAGGGAAGGCCTTGGTATCCCCAGGGACTCACCTGGGCTCTGATCCTACTATGCTGTCAATGCAAAGGCTGTGTGTGTCCCCAGGACTTCCCACCACTATTTGTCTCGGCAGCTGCTTGCCGATGTGTGTACGACCCAGGCTGCACAGCTGTGTCTGTGGGGCAGGCCAGGCCTCCCTGCTCCCGCCCCTCCGAGCAATGCCTTTCAGGAAGCCTCCTGTGGCTGCGCAGGACACAGCAACAGCGGGCAGTCCTGGAGCCCTGGGTTCCTGGCCAAGGAAGAGGCGAGAATGGGTTGCTGTGGGGTGCGAGTGCATCCTCCGCAAGGCGGGGACTGGGTCTTCTTGCTATTCTAGGTGGTATTCTGGGTGCCCCCAAGGGACTCAATAAACACTTGTAGGTCATCATGGTGACCATGGCAGAGGCCGCCTCCGTCCACCAGGGACAGCAGCTCATCCCCTGAAATGCAGATGCAGAGACGCTTCTAAGAGACCCCATGTCTCACCTCAAAGGCACAAAGTCAGTGAACATCTGGTGAAAACGATATCATGCCTGGAGCAAGAAAGGCTCTTCGGCGAAGAGCTCAAATGCATTCAAGAGAGTTAAATCCGTTCACTGTCCAAATATACCTTATCCGGGACAGGTGGATAGGCGGAAGATGTTTGCTTTTAATTTTAAAATACCTTTTTAAAAAATGACCGCTATAGGCCAGGGACAGTGGCTCATGCCTATAATCTCAGCACTTTGGGAGGTTGAGGCAGGAGGATAGCTTGGGTCCAGGAGTTCGAGGCCAGTCTGGGTAACATGGTAAGACCCCCATCTCTACAAAAAAATTTAAAAAATTAGCTGAGTATGGTGGTGCACGCCTATGGTCCCCGCTACCTGGGAGGCTGAGGCAGGAGGACAGCTTGGGCCCAGGAGTTCAAGGCTGCAGTGAGCCAGGATCATGCCACTGCACTTCAGCCTAGGCAACACAATGAGATCTTGTCTCAAAAAAAAAAAAAAAATGTGGCTATAGAAAACAAGGTTGGAGGAGGGGAAGGGACAGGACTGGGGACTCAGTAGGGAGAAGGCACTGGTCTAAAGACTTCCATTGTCTTGCCACAAAGCAATGCATGAGCCAGAAGGAACAGGAGGCTTTAACAGGCCAAGTGACTCTGCCCCCATCTCCTCTGGGCACTCAGGGAGGGCTGGTGGTGAACATGATGGAAGACTGAAGTTATCATAGAACCTATGCACAGGCCTGGTGATAGTACCACCAGAGCTGTCGTGACCTAGAAACATGGCAGCCACACTTCTGTCATCTTTCTTGCTCGTTGGGGATTCTCTACTGCAAACGGGCAGGGCACTGGCTTTCAGGAATAAAAAGAGGCTGCTTTCCAACACCAAGAATCCATTTGGTAAGGACTGAGCTGCTATGAACTGGGCAAAAGGAACCAACCTCCTGGATGGGTGGCTGGGGTGGTGGCTTGGGCTGGTGACCGTCCTAGGACAACGGTCCTTCTTTTCATTGATAAAGGAAGTTCAGCAAGAGCTTAAGGATCTTAAAATACCATTCAAAGAGCTTTTCACTTCCTTGGAAAACTTGAATATGGCTGTATTTGTTTTGTATTCAGCCCAAGAAAGGTAATGGAAGGAGCCTCATAAAACAAGAGCTGGTCTTGAACAAAAAAAATACTGCTACATTAAAAAGAAGAATTAGCTAATTCTTCTCCCCCATTTCTTTGTAAAAGGACCTCAAAATGATCAGTCCCAAAGGCCAGGACTCTTTCAGAGGCACGCCCCAGGACCCAGGGGTAGAGTCCGGGGGGAAGGCATGGAAACCAGGCCTCATGGCTGGTGTGCTCACAACTGTCCTCCCCACGACTCATGCTCCAATGCTGCCTGCGTCACCCAGAGAAATGTGTTTGGGATGATCACCCCCAAAGCCCTGCTGACGGCCACAGCAGGGGTGCTCACACTGCAGGGGTGCTCACACTGCAGGGGTGCTCACACTCCAGGGTCATCAGAGTGATCTGATGAGCTTTTACATGATGCAGGTTCCTAGGCCCCACTCCCAGGCACTCCCATTCTGTGGCTTGGGGTGGAGCCTGTGAGTCCGCACTTTGACAGGAGGTGCAGGTGCAGCTAGGGCAGGGTCCACATGGTGAGAGACCCTGGCAGCTGCTGGGTGGCAGAGTCAGATACCAGGGACTCAGCCAGGCAGGGGACAGTGAGATCAAATGTTCACCCTGCCCTGGATGGGAGGTGGGAGCAGACTGGCCCCTGGTCACTTCATGGAGGCAGTAGGAGGTGGCCAGCTGCTCCCTGGGGATGGACAGCCCTGCTACAAGGGTCTGGGGGCTGCCTTCAGAGTCCCCTGGGCTGGCAAAGCCACCAAGTCCTCTGGGAGCTCCCGCCTGAAACTTTGAAGTGTCCGATAGATCTTGCCTCTGCCCCACCTTCCTGGGTGACTTTGTCTTGAGCTCTCTGGTGGCCCGGTCTCTCCTTGGGCCTCTTGTTTGCCCGGAGAGACTGCCCCATCCGTGCCACAGGGGCCAGCACATTGGTGGGGCTGTGAAGGTCTCGAAACCCTGTGAACGCTTCAGGGACACGCCGGGTCCCTGGGCCAGCCTCCCTCCCCACTACAGACTCAGCGGTGCTCCGTTAGGATGAGCGCACGGACTCACCTCCCGGTGCTCCCACGGGCCCCGAGGCTTTGGGACACTTGGGGTTTCCTGACGAATCTTTACGATCCTATGCTTCTGTTAAAAATAGAACAAAAATCCCCCAATGCAAGCCTCTTGAAAACCACTGGCTTTAGCAGTCAGGACCCGCTTAGGAGGAAAGAGGCCCATCGCCCCCCAGGCTGTAAATATCTGGATCTGCGCACCAGCCGCTTCCTGGAGGAAGAACAGACAGAGGTGGGTGCAACGCTGGCTCGGCGTGCCCCTCGAGGAGAAGGGCTCAGCCCAGACGACTCCGAGGGCCCCAGGAGAGGACATTCTGGCTGGGAGGGAGAAGTCCCACATGTGTCTGGAACATTTAGTTCAGATCATTCCAAGCCGACAGAAGGGTGATACCAATGTGAGGAAACGGCTCCAGGGATAGATGTGGGTAAATACAAGCAATCCTTTAAAGGTGAAGTGTGAATCACTTTCTACATTTAATAAAGACATTTTCTCATTTGAGGCTCTGGAAGTTGTGAGTCACATTTTTTTTTTTTTTTTTTGTAAACCCCTCCCCGCTAAAATGCCTTGGAACACATGGGTTAACAGTGGCTGCACAGAAAATATACACCCTCAATCTCACTTTCTTTAAATACAAATATACAAAATGTAAACTGAGACAGTAGAGAAATTTACAAAACTTTTCTTTAAAAATCATAAAGACAAAATTCAGTTCTAGTTATGACGCTATTAAAATACGTGCAAGTTGTCGTATCCAATTGGATTTCTATTGCAATGTTCACCAAAGACAAATCCAATCCACCCCGGCCGGGGCCGCCTCGGAAAACAGACCTGAGTGGAAATTTCTTTGAGAAACCTCGAGGTTCTACGTCGACGGGATGGACGGCCTCCTTCCCCGGCTCCTGGGGGGCTCCCCTGGCAGCCCCACCAGAGCAGAAGCTCCAGTACTTCCGCTTCTAAGGAGAAGGTCTGGGCTGGTTCCACTGTGGACTTCCAGAGCCGAAACTAGCTGCTTCCGGTGGAGTTCGAGCTGACGTGGTTTGAGTTTATGTGGTGGTTAAAATTGGTCTTGGAGCTGGGCGAACTCTTGGAATTGTTCTGATGCTGGGGTTGGGGTTGGGGGAGACGGGATGGAGAGAACAGCAGTCAGTCCTGGGAGCCCTGGCGATGGGTCAGGGGCTGCCTCCACCAGCTCTAACCCTTGCTTTTCATGGCCTTTGGAAGTCTCCCCTCAGAGCCAGGTGCAAGGGCCGCCCCTGGAGGCACAGGGCTTTATCTGGTAAATGGGAAGAGCCAAGGAATTAACAGAACCTCCAATCAGGGTGGAGGCGGCCCCCCCATAACATCCACCTTGGTTACGCCTGCAGGCCCAGGGTTACACTGCCTGGGCTGGAATTCTCAGTCTGCCCTCCCTCACAGAGTGGCCTTGGGCATGCAATTCCATCTCCCAGTTTCCTCTCCTGTAACAGGCGAGAAGAGCAGCTTCCGCAAAGGGTGGCTGGGAGGATACAATGGGGCCTCGTATGCAAACGGCTCTACGAGGACCCACCTGGGAAAGATGGGCGGTCGTTCCCATTCCTCGGGCCCTCCCTCTGCATCCCGTGTGTGCTGGGCCCTCCATGTTGCAGAGGGGAGGAGGAGGGAGGCAAGGAACGTTTGCTTCACAGGTGCTGGTGCCCGCGCCGTGCTAAGGGCCGCCACCCATGGCTCTAGGCAGCAGGCATTTCTATCCTGATGTTTCAGGCAGGCAAACTGAGGCGGGAGAGGTTCCATAAGTTTCCACATAACCAAGAAGTGTCAGGGCTGGGTTTGAACCCGGGTCTGTGAGACTACATGGTAATTTCTCTTTCTAGGACCCAGGGTGTTCTTAGCGCGCCCGGCCATGAGGGGAGGGAGAGGTCATTCTTTCTGGAACTTCCATTTTACTTGATGGAAGCACTGAAGTGTTGTATTTTTATATTATCACTGGCCTAGTGTGTCTATCCTGGAGCTGGCTCTTTGGCGGGAGGCGGAAGGAGCAGAACTAGGTGGGGGAACCTCCCAGGCTCCAGGATGGGCACACTGGGCCACAGCTTCCTCCAGGGCCAGGCCAAGATGGGGTGTATGGTGGCCCACTTCATGGTGTGGGGTGAGGTGGGGGCCCTTCCCCGGCATTTCCTCCACTGGCTCACATTAGCCCTTACCCAGGGCCAGGCTCTGACTGTCATTTCCCAAGAGCCCTGTCTCCTCTGGCTGCCAGCTAGAGGGCACAGCACTGGATGGGAGCCATCTCAAGAGCCAGAAGGTTCTGCAGGGTCAGCTTCTACCCCCAGTTCTCCCTGAGCTTATGATGTTCAGTCTTTACATGACTGAGGCTTCATAGGGACCAGAGAGGGCAGCGGTTCTCAACCAGGGGTGACTGTGCCCCCAAGGACATTCAGCAGTGTCTGGCGCTTTTACGGGCTGTCATGACTGGGGAATGGGGTGTTGCTGCATCTGGTGGCTGGAGGCCAAGCTTGCCGTCTCAAATCTTGTGATGCACACAACAGCCCCGTGACAAGGAATTAACTGGCCCCAGGTGCCAATAGTGTCAAGGTGGAGAAACCCAGAGGGAGGGTGAATTTGGGCTGGCTCTGCTCTTCTGCCGTGGGGATCCCGTCAGCTGCAGTGGGTGTTAGGGGCCTCAGACATATCAGTTACCCTTCCAGGCTGCTACTGCCCCAGACTCCCGAGTCCTCAGAGGGTCTCTCCTGGGGGTCTGCTGGTTTCCCATGGAAGCGAGCCAGGGGTCTTGGGGCTGATGCCAGGACTCGCCAGGCACAGGTGTCTCACCTGACGCTTGAAGATTCTCTGGAGCAGCCCTTTCTTTGGCGGTTCCGGAGGGTGATTTCTGTTCAGATCTGGCGAGAGGGTACCATCAGGTCCAAACACGTTCAGCTCCTTAAAGCATTCTGTTTCTATCATCTGGAGGGGCCGTGAGAAAAAAGACACAGGCCGTCACCTGGGGTGGTCAGGAAGCCCAGCAGCAGAACCACTGGGGCTGACCCCTCCCCTGGCCTCACCTGCCCCTGAGCCACACCCTTCCAGGTCTTGGGGGCTGGGTGAGCCTCCCCCTCAATGACTGGCCCGTGGTGGCCACAGCTCCCTGCCTGGCCACTGACAGCTTTCATGTGCTGCCTTCATGGAGAAAACAGAAACCACGCGCTCATCCTCCTGCCGCCAAACTCATATTCCTGACGCCTTCCTCCCCCCATCAGTCCCTCCCTCCCAACCAGCGCCAAGCAAGTGGCCTGCCCCGCTCACCTCGTTTTGCCATGGGATGGACACAGAACCCGTGGAGAACTTGGAGTAGAAGTCGTCATCTGTGTGGTCCAGATTGACACCCTTCACAGTGGAGAACTGCTCGATGTCCAGCACGTCCTTACAGTACACAGCGCGGGGCTGCCAGGGGCACAGGGCTGGTCACACATGTGTCCTGCCTGCGGCTCCAGTGGCCCCAAGCCCAGGCCTTGGGGTTTTAACAGGGGAGCAGAGGGGAGTCTTCCCAGGACCCACCCCCGGAACTGCTGCGGGTGGTGGCTGGAGGGCGTGTGGCTCGGGGCAGGTGAGGCCAGGGGAGGGGTTGGCCCCAGTGGCTTGGCTGGGCTTCCCGTCCACCTCGGATGACGGCCTGTGGTTTTGTTTTGCGCGACCCCTCCAGGTGGGAGTGCGGCCCTCTCTCAGATCCATGAAGGGGACCCTGGCTGGGGTGACACAAGAGCTCGGGGCACCTGGGTGCCCAGTCCAGGGCTCCTTTTGCCATCACTCCCTTACCAGTACAGGACAGACGTGGGCTGGAGTCCCAGCAGTGGGGCTTATGAACTGTGGGGAAGTCTCATATCCCCTGAGGCCTGTGTCCTATTTCCTTACCGGCAAAATGGGGGCAACAAGGTACCTCGCTGGGGCTGCTGTCAGTGCTGGCCACCGAGCCTGGTGCCCGTAACTGGGAGCTGGTATTATTATTGTACCAGGGCGTATCTTTTACCTTACTCATCCCTCCACTGTGCACTGGGGGCCTGATCTATGCCAGGGCAGAGATGAACCTGGGTGGACCTTGCCCTCTAAGAGTTCAAGGTTGGTGCGGGGAGGCTTCCCAGAGGCTCTGGAGATGAGGCCTTTATACAGACGGCCCCAGGTGCGGTGCCAAGGGATCCCCAGACCTGGTGACACGTCTGTCGCTGGAGGGTAGAGGCTACCTCCTGCTCACAGTCTCCTGACATTTGGCTAATTCGAAGGTTGTGAATCAGTGCACCGGCTCAGTGAGGGCTCCGCCATGCCAGGAAGGTTCTAGCAATGGTCTCAGGGCTCGGCACTTTCTGGGACTCTCCCCTCCGGTCTGCTCTGGTCTCCAGCTCAAGGCTCGAGGCCATGCTGTCCCCAGCAGAGCAAACCATGGGCCCAAGTGCATGTGGGCGGAAGCAGGGGTGGGGGCATGGGTGTCCGGGTGCAGAGCTGCGACCCTTCTCTAGTGCCCAAAGCCCGGGGTGCACGCCACCGTGGAACTCAGCAGACTTTTAGCTGGAATCAAGACCACATCATTCACGCGGCCAGCACAGAATGAAAACGCAGGGCCCATGTTCCACATTTAAAATTTTAAGATGGCAACAGAGGGCACTGAGCCAGGTGTGGGGCCCAGGGTGCCCTAGGGGGTGCCCAGGTCAAGCTCACGAAACTGGCCTTGGGTGGCTTGCAGAGGAATGTTAAGAAATGAGTGTATTTTAAAAATCTGTAATGGAACAGGAAGTTATCTGGCACACCCAAATCCCTCTTTCATGGCTATTATTTCCTTGGAAAGGTTTCCTTTTAAAATACGTTTTTTATTTTTAAAAAGTGTCAACGGAAGTGAAAAAGATGATGTCACTCAGCGCTTGTGGTTTAGGAACGTGGCAGCAGCCCTGACAGTGGTGTGGGGACAACTGTGGAGGCTGGCGGGGACGACCATTGGGGGCTGGCGGGGACGACCATCGGGGGCTGGCGGGGACGACCGTGGGGGGCTGGCGGGGACGACCATCGGGGGCTGGTGGGGACAACCGTGGGGGGCTGGCGTGCAGCCTGGGGAGGGCCAGAGGGGAAAAGGCAAAGTCCCCAGCTGACAGCGACTTCGCACTCCAGGGCCTGCAGCCTTTGCTCGCCTGAGGCCTCAGATGCCAGGAACAGAGGCCCTGGGCCAGAGGGTACACACTGGGGGGAGGAGGGCACTGGCGGGCTGCTCTGTGCGCCTTGTCAGGCTGTGCGCCTTGCGGGGCTCTGCTACCTCATCCTCCTAATGCCCTGATTCGAGGTGGCCAGCGTCACTCCCAGGGTGACCAACTGTCCCTGTGTCCCGAGGACACAGGACTTTCAGTGCTAAAAGCAGGACAGTCCCAGGCAAAGCAGGACAGTCAGTCGCCCTGATCCTCAGGGCCGCCTCCTTCCACACGCTGCTTCTGGGGCCCAGAGCACTCTTCTCCAGCCGTGCCTGGGTGCACGCACGGAGGCCTCGCTACTCTCCAATCTTCCTTAAGGCTGACTGTTCTCTTCTCTTGTGACTCATATTTCTACTTGTATTTAAGGGGTTTTGCTGACAACCCTCCTCGTCTTCAGACTGGAAGTTCCATGAAGGAAACAACCAACCGTTTTGTGCGCCATGGGATCTCCCTTGGGGCCTGGCATGGGACCTGGAGTGTGCTGGAAGGTAGAGAAATAGTTCCAATGCCATGACTCATCTCAGCCCATCACCATAGCAACAGGTAGCCCAGAGGCCACAAGGATGGCCACCCGGGTTCCAAACTTTGCCACACCCCCAATCTGGGCGCCCACATCCTCTCCAATTTCGGACATCAGCCCAGTGGCACAACCATGATGTTCATGCAGTCATGCTATGTGGTTTCCTGGAATACCAAGGAGTGGTCACTCCCAAAGCCCTCGACACCGAAAACAAACAACAAATAAACGACACACTCCCTGCACGTAGTGCTTCTCACAATAGTGACTCTCAACCTCGGCTGCACGCTCGAATCAGCTGGGGAGGTTTCAAAACTCCCGAAGCCGAAGTCTTACCCCAGCCTCCCTGGGGGCTGGGTCCAAGGCGAGTGTTGCTCATGCTCCCCCGCGGTTCCCCAGGCAGCCAGGGTCGAGAGCAATGCTGTGATTACCATTCTCCCCCTGCCTGCTCAAGCTCATCTGGAGATTGAGTTTGCCGCATTCAGTGACTTTCGCTTTTTTTTTTTTTTTTTGAGATGGAGTCTCGCTCTATCGCCCAGGCTGGAGTGCAGTGGCGCAATCTCAGCTCACTACAACCTCTGCCTCCTGGGTTCAAGCGATTCTCCTGCCTCAGCCTCCCGAGTAGCTGGGATTATATGTGCATGCCACCATACCCGGTTAATTTTCGTATTTTAGTAGAGATGGGGTTTCACCATGTTGGTCAGGCTGGTCTCGATCTCCTAACCTCAGGTGATCCGACTGCCTCAACCTTCCCACGTGCTGGGATTACAGGCATGAGCCACCGCGCCCGGCCTGCCCTACTCTTTACATTCTCAGTGGCCCCCGTGTTTCTCCAAAAAGCATTCCCTGATTACCCATCACACTGATGCCATCCCTGGCCGGACAGGGGCTGTGGTATGGTTGCCATGGATACTGATCTGCACCCAGCAGCTTCCCAAGCCCGCTGCTGTCCCACAGGACCAGGGGAACCCCACCTACAGGGGGTGCCAGAGTTCCAAGGATGGTCCCCACCTGTCTCCACTCAGGGTGGTACTGGTAAGTGATAACCACTGGTTCTGGGGGAGGGGGATGCAGAGGCCCTGATTTGTACCATTTGCAAATTGCTGCTGTGCAGATGCTACCACTGGGATCTACTGTAAGCTGCCGACGTGAAGCCACTGGACACGGAATTGGGAAGAGATGTGCATATGAGCTCTCCGGAGACGCGGTCATTTGCCTGCAGCACACCACTGCCCCCACGGCCTCCACAGCCCCGGCCCAGCCCCCACCGCCGGCAAGGGGTCATCTGTGGCAGCGTGGCAGGAGCTGAGACACAGGCCTTCCTGGCTTCTGACTCCCTGACTTTACACAGAGCAGGCCCCGAATTCACAGCTCGTATCCCACACAGATCACCCAGCCTCTGCCTGGTCTGCCTCTCTTGGGCCTCTGATCCAGCTGAGAGCTCACGATTTATTGACCGTGCAGGGGACTTTCAAGGACAATTCTACCTCAGCTGGAATCTTGCCTCACACACCAACTGGTGGCCCTGGGGACCTCCTGGGAAGACAGGACTCCCTATAATGTAAGCTGCTGGGGGAGGGGCCTCTTTTGTTCCTGCCTGGCCCAGAACCTGGCGTCTGCAGTAGGTGCTCAATGCATGCACGCTGGTCAAGCTGAACTGAACGTGGTGGCCCTCAATGCTCTTGGAAGCATTCCCCATTCAGTTCTCATTTCACCCTCAAATCTCCCAGGCAGGTGGGAGGCGTGAGTGTTACTGGCTTCACTGGTCAGGGAGGAAACTAATGCTTAGAAGGAATCTGTCCAGGACTCCCAGACCCGGGAAAGTGCCCAAGTCTTTGGAAGCCAGCGTGGGCTCCCTGGCCCATGCCTCCTCTGCACTGCCTGGCGTGAAGTTCATCTGCAGCTGAGGCAAGGAGTGGCTGGGAGGGGACTCTTTGGTCCCCACAAAGACACGATGTGCCCCACACTCTGCACCAGCTCACTGTGAAGCAGCACTGCGGGGCAGCCCTGGGTACCCTGCAAAGGGAGCTGCTGGGGGCTGGGGGGTGCTACTCACGTCTGGAACGAAGGGAGGATCCAACATCCCGGCTTCTAAGCGCTTGAAGTTCATGTTCCTGAAGAAGGGGTGTCTCTTGACCTCTGCAGCCCCCTCCTCCTGGCAGCCCAGCCTCTGCTTTGCATCTTTGGTGAGCAGCTGAAACAGAGAGAGCCCCATGAAGCCACTGGGCCTCTCCTCCTGCCTGAACCTCCTGCCTCCACAGTGTCTGTGCCACCCAAGACATGCTGCCCCACCCTGCCAAGGTCTCGCTTCAGGGCTGCCTCTGAGTCTTGGCATGCATCTGTGCTCACACCTTCACAGCCTGGCTAGATGCCTGATGGGCCAGGGGAGCAGGAATCTTGTGTTTCTCCCAGGACTACAGACCTCGTTCCTGGGTTATGGTGGGCACTCAATGGGTGTCGAGTCAATGTCACCTCTTCTGTGTAGGGTAAGCAACAAAAGGCAAGGACTGCATCGATAGCTCTCTTTTGTTCACGTACTCGGCTAATTTGCAGACTCGCACCTCCTGGGTGCAAGCCCCTTCCTGACAGAGAAGACACTGCCGAGGGACTTGGCCTCTAGGAGTGCTCAGACTCATGGGGGGCTAATCATGCTCAGAGGACACATCAAGGTGATACAGATCAGCACCCTGGGGCCAGGAGGCATGACTGGCTGCCAGCTGGAGGTCAGGGAGCTGCATGGGGAAGGGGTATTTGAGTTGAGTCTTGTAGGACAAATAGGCTTTCAAGGTGTGGGTGTGGGGAGGGGTACACAGGTAGAGGGAACTGCACCAGCAAAGCAGAGTGGCAGGGCGTGCAGGGTGTGTCTGGGGAATATCCAAAACACGTTTGACTTAGCAGGAGGAGGGTGCAGAGGTCGGCCAGCGGGAGGGGCTGGTCGGGGGAGATGATGGAGGATCAGAGATGGGTCGGGGGAGGGGCTGGTCGGGGGAGATGATGGAGGACCAGAGATCGGCCAGGGGGAGGGGCTGGTCGGGGGAGATGATGGAGGATCAGAGATGGGTCAGGGGGAGGGGCTGGTCGGGGGAGATGATGGAGGATCAGAGATCGGGCCAGGGGGAGGGGCTGGTCGGGGGAGATGATGGAGGATCAGAGATGGGTCAGGGGGAGGGGCTGGTCGGGGGAGATGATGGGAGGATCAGAGATGGGTCAGGGGGGGAGGGGCTGGTCGGGGGGAGAGATGGATGGGAGGATCAGAGATGGGTCGGGGGAGGGGCTGGTCGGGGGAGATGATGGAGGATCAGAGATCCGCCAGGGGGAGGGGCTGGTGGGGGGAGATGATGGAGGATCAGAGATCCGCCGGGGGAGGGGCTGGTGGGGGGAGATGATGGAGGATCAGAGATGGGTCAGGGGGAGGGGCTGGTCGGGGGAGATGATGGAGGATCAGAGATCGGCCAAGGGGAGGGGCTGGCCAGGGGAGATGATGGAGGATCCTGAAGGCCGGGTCGGGTGGTAGGATTTTCATCTGGAGGTAGAAGGAGCCAGGGATGGCTGAGGTAGGGGAGTGTCTTCATCAGAACCAAGAGGCAGGAAGGTTACCAGGAGAGGAAGAAGCTTTGGGAGCAGACACCCGGGTGAGATGGGATGTGGCTGTGAACGAGGCCAGAGGGCTGGACCCGCGCAGGGGTCCTCGACTGGCCATGGCAGCCACATGACCACAGGGCCCCGGCCCCTGACCCGCACTCCCAGCGCCCCAGCCTCATGATTCTCTCTTCTCCTCTGCCCTACTGAGCGCTGCACCTGTATGCAGTTGGTGTCTACTAAATATCTGCGTTGTGGCTAAAATTCGGAGCAGCCTGCATGGGGGGAGGGGCGCAGCCTTGTTTTTTCCCAGTGCCCCGTGCACTTTGCTCATATTCATCCCACGTACACTTCCTGCTGGCTCCTGTGGGGCAGGCGCTGCGCTGGCTGGGGACGCTGGGAGAGTGAGTAGCCACATTGGCCTCCTGGGTCTCAGGGTCTGGAGGGGCTGCCCCCCAAACAAAGGAATCGAAGGTGGCACCAGGGCCAGCACCAGGTTCCACCCTTGAAAGGACTAAGCAGAGAGCTCCGTCGCTCACAGTGTCGCCCTCTAATGCCCCCACGGACCGCCAGGCTGGCGGCTCAGGGTCTGGTGCTCATGCCTCTACTTCTCTCTCTGGGGGCTTCACTGTTTAACAAAGGCTCAAGCATTGGGCTGGGCTGGGCCCAGGCGCTGCACTGTTCTAAGTAGTCCCTCAGAGGCAAGTCTCCTTCTGCAGAGGCTGCAGTGGCTGGCCAGGAAGGTGGCACAAACGAGGGCGAGAAAGGCGAGGGGTGGGCTGGGAGAGCCGGGCCAGGCTACGCGTCAGCTCCTGCCAGGTGGGACGGCAGCCAGGGCCTGAGGCTTCTGCTTTTCAAGAGAAGCCAGAAAATCCAGGTTATTATATGAAATCTCCACATTTTTAAATCTTGGCAATGAACCTACCATTTACTTCTTTTGAAACACCCTGTGCAGGTTGAACCAAACACCCCCCTATATGTTGCCGTTTGAAACCCTGGCATCCAGTCAATGGTTTGCAGCCATGTCGGCAGGTAAGGAGTTTGCAACCATGCTATCAGGTGGACACCAGGAGAAGTAAGAGGAAGAGAAGGTGTGAGTGGGATGGGTGGGGCAGGCAGAGTGGGCTTCCTGGAGGAGGAGAACAGATGGGCTGGAAGGACAAGTGAGACCAAGATGGCTGAAGGGCAAGAGGGAGCTGGAGTGGGGGCTAAGGCCCAGGGCTGGGACTGAGCAGGGGCTTGGGGAAGATGGAGGCTGAGGTCTGGGCCCATGGACTGGGCTCAGGGGACAAAGAGGTGAGATGTGTGAATTTCTGGGCTCCAGAGAAGGGGGAGCAGCTTCTGTGGCTGCTAAGGTAGAATGGGGGACAGACCTGGGGGCCAGAGACCAGCTTCCTCGCTGATTGTGGAGGGGCCCTTTTAGACAGGCCGGGCTGGAGCCACCAGAGCCTAGAAATAGCCCTGTGAACCCGGAGCCTGTGAGCTCTCCTGGCAAGTCAGGCTCTGCAGTGTCCTGAGCTGCCGCCAGCTGGAGGGGACACGGTAGGTCTGGATGCCAGAGATGCTGCAGTCAAGGGCGTGAAGGAGGCCTAAGACCAGACTCCCAAGACCCAAGATCATTTGTAAGGGAAGCTGCAGCAAGGCCAGAGGCTTCCAGAGGACAGTGGTTTTGTACCCACCAGACAGGTCCTCTGGGAGCAGCAGGCTTTCTCTCAGTGTCCACCAGGGGGCAGCAGAGGGACAGCAGTGCCCTGGTCCAGGGTGCAGCAGATCCCAGCTCCAAAGCCAGGGGCCAAGGTGGGTGACTGGGGTCCGGGGGTGAGACTGGGGCCCTCTCCACCTCGTCATCCTCTTAGTTTGTCCCATATCCCTATGAGATCTCTCAAGACCTGCCTCTCTGATTGCCTGGCCCTGACCTGGGACATTCGGTGATGCTCTGTCCACGGCTGTCTGACCCCATCTTTCCCTTGTCTAGTTTTGTCGCACCTGACAGGTATCTCCCAATGAGACAGCCAAGCATGGCTCGCACCCACGTTTCCATGTACTCGACCAGTGCTGCACTGCTCCTCTGGTTCCCCCACACTAGCCCTGGCTGCAATGACCATGTGGCTTTCTCTGAGGCCCCAGCTGCACGGCGGGCCAACAGCTGTGGGGTTAGGGTGTGGGTCTGCTGTACACACAGGCCTTCTTCCCACAGCTCTATGAGGTGAGGATGAGGTTGGTGACAGGAAGGGGCCGAGGAGAGGTGTTTGGCTGCAGGGGAGGGGCCTCTGGGGTGAGGAGCCGAGCCAGACCCTCCTGGGGCCACTCGCAGCGCAGCCTCAGGTCTTCCTGAGCAGAAGCATTGCAACTTTTAATCAACTCCCAGGCCTGCTGCTTCCTAAACTCCGGGAGCTGCCTGGGTTGTCAACGCACACGCTGAACCTGCCCCCAAAGTCGCTGAAGATGTAGAGGGGTGGGAAATGTGGTTCCCGCTCCCAGACTCGGCCTGCCCATCTGTGGCTCCGGGTACATGGGGTTCCAGGGAAAGAAGAGGAAGTCTGTGGGCTGGCAAGTGTGGAGCTGGGTGCTCTGGCCCTTCCTGTCCCTGTAAGGCTGGCATTAGAGGGCAGCTGCTTGCAGTGGGGCTGCCAGCACAGCTGTGCTGGGGACCATAAGGAGGAGGGCCCCAAGGGGGCATGGCTGGACTTGGGGGCTGAGAGCCAGGCCGGAGCAGGAAGTAGCCATCTCCCCAAAAAGCCACTAGTCCTGGTTCCCAGGAAAGGGTTAGGGTTAGGGTTAGGGCCGGCGTCGGGGGGCCCAGGGGCAGGGCGGGCACGGGCAGACTCCACTCCCATATCCCCCACTTCCAATGGCTCCTGTCACTCCTTTATCTGGCTTCCAGTCCCCACATCTGGCCCCACCCACCCAGCTTGTGTAATCGTCACTCCCACCATGCCCTGCCTTTGGGTGGGTCGGACCTCACTATCCCTAGACCCTGCCACACAGGAGCCAGGCTGGCGTGACCAGCAGTCCATCTAGTGGTGGAAAACTTTGTTATAAGATGTTCAAAGACTGCGATCATCACCCCCACCCCCTGCAGCTCTTCGTCTTAAACCAACACCTTGGGATCCAGAGGTGGAGGGAGCAGGAGGCCCAAGGGCAGCGGCAGGGGCTTGACTCAAGGTTGCTTTGTGTCTAGCTCAGACCACCGCTTCTCCGCCCTGTGCAGACCCCCACAGGCTGGATGTGAGGGTGTTCCACACTGTTCCCCTCACCCCCCTCCCCTTGCTTCCTGGGTGTCCCTGCCCCGCCCAGACTTTCTCCTGGAAGCCTCCGCTGACCACCCCAGTCCACAGCAAGGAGTGCCCTCAGCTCTAGCTTGGTGGGCTGCACCCCCCACCACACCCTAGCATGCTCAGATCCCTGTCCCTTCAGCCAGCGTTTGCTGTTTTGGGGACAGACTGGGGCCAGGCCCAGGGAGGGTAGCGTCTGGCCACCAGGAACTCACCATCTTGCAGATGGACTCGGCCTCCTCAGAGAACTTGCGGGAGTACACCTCTTCGGTCTCCAGGACCCGGCGGTCCACCTCCTCCCGCTTCACCTTCTCCTTGCGGCCGCGGAATGGCGACTGGCCCTCGATCATCTCATAGATGAGGCAGCCCAGGCCCCAGTAGTCGGGGCTCAGGCCATACCTCTGGTTGTTCAGGACCTCTGGAGCTGGGGGCAGAGGAGAGAAGAGAGGAGTGAGGACTGGGGAGACAGCTGGTGGCACTGCTCACTGAAGGCCTGGAGGTTCATGGCTGGGACAGTGGCCGCCACCAACTCCTACCCCACCAACTGCTGTGAATACCACCTCCTCCAGGGAGCCTGCCCTGATGACTCTCCTCTGTGCCCCCGAAGGACTCTGATTGTAGCTTTAGAACTCTGACCACTGTGGATGGAGGTGTCCTGCACTCTTGATGTCCCCTTGCCTAGAACATGAGCTACTTTATTCACTACTGTAACAAGTACGACACCTGGCACAGAACAGGTGCTATTGGTATATTTGTTTCAATGAATAAAGGTGTATCTACCCAAATTAAAGATGATCTTAAATTTATCTGTAATTCAAACAATCTCTTGCTATGTCTTCTCTACCACTTTGATAAAGTGAATTACAGATTCACCATAGAAATACAAAAAAGATAGTTCTGCATCATCAGCACGTATGTCTGGAGGGAAATGCATCCACACACGTGCTGGTTTGCACACGAGAGCCTGGGCAGACAGATGCATGGAGCACTCTGCAAAAGGAGACCCAGGCAAATGCACACACAGGTAGGCAGATCTGTCATCCACCCATCCATCATCTATCCCATCCATCCATCCATCCATCCATCCATCCATCCATCCATCCACCCGCCTACATCCCTATCAATCGTCGATCAGCATTCACGTGGGCACACACACACTCACATACACACAGACACACACCCCACAGGTTGCCAAATGTCATGCAATCTGAAAAGGGCCCTCTAGCACCAGAGACAAGGTACACCTCCCATGCAGCTGCTGTTGGCACCAGCCTGACCAGAGGGTGGCAGTGTGCCTGGTCCTCGAAGCTCTCTGGGGCCCCCGCCTCTCAGGGGAAGGAGGGTAGGCGTGTGAAATGCACAGAAGGAAGCCCAGGGCGTGCCCCAAATTGGATGGGGGATTCTAGGGCACAGGACTTAACTCTGGGCCTCTTCCCTGCAACCCCCAGGACTCTGGTCTTGGAGCAGACTAAGGCAAGGCGTCAGGAACCGAAGGCTGCTCTCTATTGGAATCACGCTCGGTGATGCCGCAGCTGTGCGCGCCTCTCATTTGGGGGCTCTTCTGAATTACCTCCTTCCTCTCAAGGGTCTCTCCTCCTAGACCTCTGCTTCAATGTGGCCTCCCCTAGCAGCGCTATGTGCGAGGCCCCGACCCCTAAGAGTGGCTTGGCTTTGGACACAGGTGGGGCTGGGACCTGGGAGTGCAGAGAGCTCAGAGCAGTCATCACATCTGGGGCCCCTGTGCTCCTCCTCCCCCTGGCTAAGGCCGCCCCCCAGCAGCCCCGCAGAGACTGTGGCTCTGCGTGTGATCAGCAGTGCACAAAGAGGCAAGAGGCTCTGCGGGCAGGCTCTGGGGGCTCGGCTGGCAGTGAGCAGGGGCGGCCCCAGTGGGTATCGGGGTGCGTTGACAGAGGCAGCCCAGCACTCACCCATGTAGCCAACAGTGCCCACCCGGCCGCGGATCAGGTCTCCCTCGGGGATCTTCACAGCCAAGCCCAGGTCTGAGATCCTAATGTGGCCTGAGGGGGACAGCAGGGTCAGTGGGTTCCCAGGACAGCCGCATGGGCGCCGGGCCTTGCTGTGTGCCCATGGGCAAGGCACACGAGCTCTTGGCACTCTCTGTCCGAGGACAACAGGGACCCCAATCTGCCATCTCAGGGTGACCACAAGACCCTTGGGAGAGTGCAGGTGTGGGAGGACACAGGAAAATGCCCACTCTTCAGGAGTGGAACATAAAGATGCAATAGGATGCCTGGACCCGGTTGGACGTTGACCGACCTGCCTAGTCAAAGGCTGAATGGGCCTCTTGGACGGCTGAGGTCACAGAGGATCTTGGCTGGGTTCTGGGATTACTTCATGGGAAAAATGTGAGGTCTTGCTGGCATTCTGCAACAATTTGCTTAAGGGGAAAACATTATAAAACAATTTGGGAAGCAGCTCCCAGGCCTGCCTTGCTGGTCTCTGGAGGTTGGTTGTTTTTCACTTTAGAGAAACTAGAAGGGAAAATGTCTGGTCTGACCCGGCAGAGCCTGGAGATGAATCTGAGCTCACAGCCCAGCACTGACCCGAGAGCGGGAGACGCTGAGCTGAGCTCCACTTCGGTCTTTGTCCCTCCCGCGGCCCACCTGGGCAGGGTCACAGCCACAACTTACCCCCGCAGGAAGGAGCACGTCCCCTTCCCTTCCCTGCCTATGGGCAGCAGGGCCCCATCCCCACCCCTCCAGCCTAGATGTTAGCAAGGGCCAGTGTCGAGACCCCATCAGGCTGTAGCTGCACGGACTCCCTGGCTCGGTGGGGGCTGACAGTCAAGACAGCAGAGGAGCAGGGTGGGCTTTGTTCTGAGACCAAGGGAGGCACTGGGCTCCTCCAGAGACGGCGGCAGGCCTGGGCCCTCCGACCGCCCCTCCACAGGGCAGTATCCCATGCAGACCTCTCTTCAGGTCATCAGCGACCTAGTTTCTCCCCTCCCTCTACTGGGGACTGCCAGGGTGTGGGGCCTTCTGGCAAAAGACCCAGTTTCTGCCCTCAGCTCCCCACTGATGCTGCTGGGTGACTCTGGCAGGATGGCTCCCCTGAGGCTCAGTTTTGTCATCTGTAAAATGGGCACAGAGATGCTGTCTTAACCTTCTCTGTGCAGGTGGGAAGATCTAGTCAGATCAAAGGTGTGGAAATCACCCAAGCACAGTGGCTCACGTCTGTAATCCCAGCACTCAGGGAGGCTGAGGCGGGTGGATCACTTGAGGTCAGGAGTTTGAGACCAGCCTGGTCAACATGGCAAAACCCCCTTTCTACTAAAAATACAAAAATTAGCCAGGCATGGTGGCACACGCCTGTAATCTCAGCTACTTGGGAGACTGAGGCAGCAGAATAGCTTGAACTCGGGAGGTGGAGGTTGCACTGAGTTGAGATCACACCACTGCACTCCAGCCTGGGCAACAAGAGTAAAAGTACATCTCAAAAAAAAAATAATAATAATACAAAAACTAGCCAGGTGCGGTGGCGCATGCCTGTAATCCCAGCTACTTGGGAGGCTGAGGCAAGAGAATCACTTGAACCTGGGAGGCAGAGGTTGCAGTGAGCCGAGGTCATGCCATTGCACTCCAGCCTGAGCAACAGAGTGAGACTCTGTCTCAAAAAAAAAAGGTATAGGAACTATTTTCCAGGTGTGAGGCTACACAGCTATGAGGGTTACTGTGGTTGTTCTTGCTATTCAGTGCCCACAGCCAAGAGAAAATAATGATGGTAATGCACAAACATAATGCCTAAGACATTTACAGCTGGCTAGCCTGACGAGCAACTCCCTCTCAAGCTGTCGTGTAGGAGCCTCGCCACAACCCTCTTCCCTCTGGGTGGGCAGGGCAGGGCAGGACACTTTGCTTCCATTTCACAAACAAGATGAAAGGTGGAGAACTTAGTGGAAGTTAAGTATTTGCCCAGCGTCTCTGAAATTCTAGACTCCTTGCTCAGTGTGCTGTAGAGACCGTGCCTGGCCAGAAGTTATTTTAACACTTAGAGCCTTATGATCAAAGGGAATTAAAAAAACTCTGAATTTCTATGTCTCTCTGAACACTGCCTGTTCACCAAGCAGGAGCTCTGTCCATGCTCACAGCTTTCTCTCTTCCCCAGGTACCCAGCACTGAGCAGTGGGAGTGGGGCCTGTGGTCAGTCTCCCCAGCTCTCTCTGAGAATCCCTGGGAGGCCCTTTGCTTTCTCTGGGTTGCGACGCTCACCTCAGCTATCGAGTAGGAAAAGACTTACCATAATCATCTAACAGGATGTTTTCAGGTTTCAGATCTCTGAAAGGAAAAACAATGAGCATCAGAGTGTGGGCATTCTGGGCAGGTAGGATGCACTGGCATCTGGTTGACCCCTCGGGCTAACCAGGCCTAAGTGGCCACAGGGTGTTTCCTTCCCACCTTGTGGCTCAGGCTGTCCGCTTTGAGTCAAAATGATCTTCAGCTCATTTCTCTCCTTCCAGTAATTTAAAGCAACACTGCTGTTTGCCACAGGCATTTCCCAACCCTGGAGAGTGACTGGGAAAGTTAGGAAAAGGCCAGTCATGGCCCCTGTTCACACATCAATGACTCTAGGGCTGAGGATACTTCTGGTGGGGTAACAGAGCCCCTCCAAGGCTGGGAAGACCCTGCAGGTCTCAGGAAGCCCTGAAGGCAGAACAGGGCCTGGAGTGAAGGGAGCTGCACAATTGGGAAGAGAGGATCGAAGGGGAGAAGGTGGGGGTATGGGAAAAAGACCCCCTTTGGGATGGGGCCTGCAGGAGACTGGCACACTCCCCAACTCCAGCTACACTACAATGCTGGAGAAAGCACAGCCACAGGGCACGGCGTAGGTGTGGCTGCCTTATCCTGTCCCTAACGTCTCTTCTCTTGATGATGGAATCTTGCTCACAAGAAGGGGAGCCTCTGCATTCCCAGGATGGGGGGAGAGCCAGCAGAGGAGCTGGTTTTATAGGAAAAAGTCTTCCCTATGGGTAAAAGAACAGCCAACAGGAGTGTGTGCAACTCATTAAGCCATGGGGCGAACAGTACACAGGATCTGGATGGAGGCTCCAGTTCTCAACCACTCAGCTTTGTTTATTTAACTGATGGCAGCTGTCCTCATGCAGGGTGGTTAATGTACCCAAATCCAGCCAGTGAGCCTCATCAAATGATAATTGGTGTTTGTATATCCTTATTTATCACAAAATACTTTTGTTGCTGTTGTTATTTAAACGGCATTCTTTTGATGTGTTAACAATTCCAAATAAGGGTAGGAGCCATCATCTCAACAAGCCGGCTGCCAGCAGGCTAGCAGGGCAGCTCACTAGTGGGCACTGGTCAGAACCGAGCCCAGAGAGAGGCCGTGGCGAGTGGTCAGTCAGGGAGGAGGTACTGTGGTTCTTTTTGCCCCTGGAAGAAGAGAAGCTGGAACTTGGAGGGCTTTCTTTTCTCTTTTTAAATAAAAGGCAATCAAGTAGAGAATTCTTTGTCCAACCCTTAGGGAAAATTTTCCGACTCTTCACTTGAATGACAACAAAATAGAAACATAAATGGGGGGATGGCATGGGGGGAAGGCCATGTCATCAAGACCATTCTTTCTTGTTTTCAAAACCTTCCTGGTCCCAAGATGAGCTCCACTGTAAAGGTCTTCAGACTGGGCTGTGTGTTGGGGTCTGCCAGGACCAAGCAGGAGGTTCCCTCCTGTCCGAAGTTTTAGGGCTTTGGATTTCTTTGCATCAGGATGCTCTGTCCTGGCATCTTTTGGGATTGCCCTCCCACCTCCCCCTTCTCAATAACTCTTCTCCCAAGTTACAGAAGAAAAGCAGCTTCCTCCCCTCCCAAGTATGACTGTAGCGACCCACTCCAGATGTCAAAACCCCCGGTTCCAAAGGACTGATTAGAAATGAGATCTACTTGGCTGGGCACAGTGGCTCACGCCTGTAATCCCAGCACTTTGGGAGGCCAAGGAGGGTGGATCGCGAGGTCAGGAGATCGAGACCATCCTGGCTGACACGGTGAAACCCTGTCTCTACTAAAAATACAAAAAATTAGCCGGGCGTGGTGGTGGGCGCCTGTAGTCCCAGCTACTCGGGAGGTTGAGTCAGGAGAATGGCGTGAACCCGGGAGGAGGAGCTTACAGTGAGATCGCACCACTGCACTCCAGCCTGGGTGACGGAGCAAGACTCTGTCTCAAAAAAAAAAAAAAAAAAAGGAAAAGTTATTTTATTTTATTTTGAGACAGTCTTGCTCCGTCACCCAGGCTGGAGTGCAGTGGTCATCTTGACTCACTGCAATCTCCAGGTTAAAGCGATTCTTTAGCCTCAGCCTCCCAAGTAGCTGGGACTACAGGCATGTGCCACCACGTCCAGCTACTTTTTGTATTTTTAACAGAGACAGGGTTTCACCATGTTGGCCAGGCTGGTCTCGAACTTCTGACCTCAGGTGATCTGCCTGCCTCAGCCTCACAGAGTGCTGGGATTACAGGTATGAACCACCACACCTGGCCAGAGAAGTTGTTTTAACACTTAGAGGCTTATGGTCAAAGGGAATTTCAAAAAAACTTGTGTGTATCCATATATTTGTTTTAGGGCCTTCTGGTCAAATGGAATTTCAAAAACTCTTATATGTATCCATATATTTGTTTCAGAGATGTACTCTCATCAATGAAAGACTTTCAGGCAAAAAATATTATTAACATTCTGGGGGGATGGAGAGAGAGAAGGAAATGATAGAAAATTCCTCATCACTAAAGAGCTTTCTGTGCAGTTTTTGGATAAATGCAGGTGCAAATCAATTCGCTATAGCAACTAGAGATTCCACTGGATCCCTTGAAGAGTGTAATGTAACTGCTCAATTTCAACATATCAACAATTGTCACTATTTTCAATATGATGGAATATTTCAAATGTCTACGTAAAATGCAGTGTCACAGAGATTTTCAAAATTCTTTCAGAAGGACTGGGAGAAAAATCTGAAGGGCACTGCTCCTTGTGAGTGGAATCTGGACCCCTGGCCCTACAATGTCCAGGTCCCTATAGGATTGAGGTCGCGGGGGATAGGGGGTGAAGACCAGAACAAGCTGAGGACAGTGTGTGGTGGGAAAATGGGCCACTGGGCCACTCTATTCTGCTTGTGGGCAGTGACCCCACCCAAGTCTTCCCAGGGCTGATCCCAGATAGCGGCCACCAGGCCCCTTCTGACCTTCCCTGGGTGCTGGGATGGAGGCAACTGGAGGGAGCAGTGGTCACGGCCCGTTCTCCTTGACTTGAAGGAGTAGTCAGTTTCGAGAACATGATTTCACTTGCTTGACTTCCCTAAACTTTGGAGGCTGGAGAACACGAGCCAGAGGGTGGCGACCTCGCTTCCTCAGTGCCGGGGGCCCCAGGTTCCTGGAGTGGAAAGTCTGTTCGACTCTGCACCCTCCCCTGGTGCTGACCAGGGCTGATTCCCAGAGCGATGGCGACCACCTGCCTGAGGGTGCGGAGGCGCTGGCCCCACCCTCTCGGACTTAGACTTGGAAGGCCTCAGTGCCCTCCACTCACCGGTAGACGGTGTTCTCGCGGTGGAGGTCTTCTAAGCCGCAGAGGATCTCTGCCGCATAAAACAAGGCCCGCTCCTCCTCGAAGCCAGGGTTGCCCATGTTGTAGATGTGGAACTTCAGGTCGCCCCCGTTCATGATGGTCAGGACCAAGCACAGCGCATCCTTGGTCTCGTAGGCATAGGCGAGGTTGACCTGGGAGCGCAAGAACAGTGCCATGGGGAGGTCATGAAAATGGCCACTCACTTCCGCTTCCCTCCTCAGGATCCTGGGAACTGGGGTGGGAGGGAACAAAGGAGCCTCACCCTGCTCCCCTGCACCCAGATGGCCTCTGCAGTGACCCTGTCTACGGCCTCCTTGGCTGATAAGGGGCTCACACCAGCTCCTCCCATTCAGTGGCTCAAGGTGAGAAGGCCAAGGTGGGTAGGACAGGCTGGCACCCCGACCTCCCAGTGAATCCAACAGGATGGCGTCTGTGCTTCCTCCACAGAAGCACATGTGTGCATCAGCTGGAGAAGACTGGATGGTGCCTTGTTGGCCAGTCAGAAAAGCAGGGCTCACCTGCCCTTCTAGCTGTGGAAGCCATTATCACAGGGCCAAGTGAAGGTGAGCTGGAGGGGCAGTGGGGCTTTGGGAAGTGGAACACAGCCTGGTAAAGGCTTTCTCTTGCATGCAGGATGTGCCTGGTTGATATGGTTTGGCTCTGTGTCCCCACCCAAATCTCATCTCGAATTGTACTCCCATAATTCCCATGTGTTGTGGGAGGGACCCGGTGGGAGATAACTGAATCATGGGGGCAGTTTCTCCCATACTGTTCTTGAGGTAGTGAATATGTCTCACAGATCTGATGGTTTTATAAGGTGAAACCCCTTTCATTTGGTTCTCATTCTTCTCTTGCTACCGCCATGTAAGAAGTGCCTTTCGCCTTCTGCCATGATTGTGGGGCTTCCCCAGTCACGTGGAACTGTAAGTCCATTAAACCGCTTTCTTTTGTAAATTGCCTAGTCTCGGGTATGTCTTTATCAGCAGTGTGAAAACGGACTAATAGAGTAAATTGGTACCAGTAGAGTGAGGCAGCACTGAAAAAAATACCCAAAAACGTAGACACGACTTTGGAACTGGTAACAGGTAGAGGTTGGAACAGTGACGGGCTCAGAAGATAGGAAAACGTGAGAAAGTTTGGAACTTCCTAGAGACTTGTTGAATGGCTTTGCCCAAAATGCTGACAGTGATATGGATAATAAAGTCCTGGCTGAGGTGGTCTCAGATGGAAATGAGGAACTTGTTGGGAACTGGAGCAAAGGTGACTCTTGTTATGTTTTAGCAAAGAAACTGGTGGCATTTTGCCCCTGCCCTATAGATTTGTGAAACTTTGAACTTGAGAGAGATGATTTAGAGTATCTCACAGAGAAATTTATAAGCAACAAGGCATTCAAGGGGTGACATAGGTGCTGTTAAAGACATTCAGATTTATAAGGGAAGGACGACATAAAGGTTTGGAAAGTTTGCAGCCTGACAATGCAATAGAAAACAAAATCCCATTTTCTGAGGAGAAATTCAGGCTGGCTGACTAAATTTGCATAACTAACAAGGAGCTGAATGTTAATCCCCAAGACCATGGGGAAAATGTTTCCAGGGCATGTCAGAGGTCTTCACAGCAGCCCCTCCCATCACAGGCCCAGAGGCCTAGGAGGAAAAAGTGGTTTTGCAGGCTGGGTCCAGGGTCCCTGTGCTGTGTGCAGCTGAGGCTGAAACGGGCCAATCTAGAGCTTGGCTGTGGCTGAAACGGGCCAATCTAGAGCTCGAGCCATGGTGGAAACCCCAAGCCTTGGCAGCTTCCATGTAGTGTTGAGCCTGCGAGTGCACAGAAGTCAAGAATTGAGGTTTGGGAACCTCCGCCTAGACTTCAGAAGATGTGTGCAAACACCTGGATGCTCAGGCAGAAGTTTGCTGCAGGGGCGGGGCCCTCATGGAGACCCTCTGCTATGGCAGTGCAGAAGGGAAATGTGGGGTCAGAGCCCCCACACGGAGTCCCTACCGGGGCATGGACTATTGGAGCTGTCAGAAGGGGGCCACCGTCCTCCAGACCCCAGAATGGTAGATCCACTGACAGCTTGCACCATTTGCCTGGAAAATCTGCAGACACTCAATGCCAGCCCATGAAAGCAGCCAGGACGGAGACAGTACCCTGCAAAGTCACAGGGATGGAGTTGCCCAAGGCATCAGCATGATCTGGATGTGAGACATGGAGTCAAAGGAGATCATTTCAGAGCTTTAAGATTTGACTGCTCTGCTGGATTTTGGACTTGCATGGGGCCTGTAGCCCCTTTGTTTTGGCCAATTCCATCCATTTGGAACAGCTGTGCTTACCCAATGCCTGTACCCCTATTGTATCTAGGAAGTAACTAACTTGCTTTTGATTTTACAGGCTTGTAGGTGGAAAGGACTTGCCCTGTCTCAGGTAAGACTGTGGACTGTGTATGGACTTTTGAGTTAATGCTGAAATGAGTTAAGATTTTGGGGGACTGTTGGGAAGGCATGACTGGTTTTGAAATGTGAGGTCATGAGATTTGGGAGTGGCCAGGGGTGGAATGATATGGTTTGGCTGTGTCCCCACCCAAATCTCATCTTGAATTGTACTCCCATAATTCCCATGTGTTGTGGGAGGGACCCGGTGGGAGATAATTGAATTGTGGGCAGTTTCTCCCATACTGTTCTCGTGGTAGTGTATAAGTCTCATGAGATCTGATGGTTTTATAAGGGGAAACCCCTTTCACTTGGTTCTCATTCTTCTCTTGCCACCGCCATGTAAGAAGTGCCTTTGCATTCCATCATGATTGTGAGGCCTCCCCAGCCACGTGGAACTGTAAGTCCTTCAAACCTCTTTCTTTTGTAAATTGCTTGGTCTCAGGTATGTCTTCATCAGCAGTGTGAAAATGGACTAATACAATGGTCCACCTGGCAAGGGGCCACCAAGAGAGAGGGGTCTAGTCCTCTGCTGGTGGAGTCCAGACACCCAAGGCTCTGTGAAGCAAGGCCATGGTGGGGCGGCAGGGGCAAATTATGCCAGAAGGTAATCCTTCTCCATGTAGGGAGGTGGCACACATGAAACCCGGCCATTGAGGGCCAGGCTAGGAACTGGCTGTGCCATAAAACTGGTGCATCAACATCAGCTATTTTTGAGGAGAGGAGACAAAATGACAGCTGAGGATGAGTGAGCTCATGGGGACCGTGCTTCTGCTGCAACGGCTACAGCTATCACCTTCCTCCCACATCTGCCCAGGTGATCACTGAGAAAGGGCTCCAGGAGGTGACACTGTGGGAACTCCCTGCCAGGGGCCATGGATGGGGCACAGTTAAAGAAGGTGCAGCCATCGTGACTGAAGGCTGTTAAAGACGTGCCGCCCAGCTTTGTGAGTCACACGATCCTCTTCCCCGAGCAGGACCCACCAGCACCATCCGTGGCCAGAGCCAGCACCATCCCTTCAGAGACAAGGCTCCGTAGGCAGCATCCAGGGCTTCCTGCTGAAGGGGCTGGTGGTGGGGAGGAAGGTTCTGGACTCAAGGAGGCCCGTGGCTGAAATGATGGCTGGAGTTAGCCTCATCCGCCTCATCTCCACATGCCATGGCACTGCCCACACCTGTACCCCAGACAAGGCTGGCAGCTGAGGGTGGCCTGGGATGAGATCCAAGATGCAAACTTCCATCCTCTTGGACTGCCACTGGTCTGTAGTGTTTTTTTTTTTTTGTTTGTTTGTTTGTTTTACAAAGTCTCACTGTCGCTCATGCTGGAGTGTGGTGGCACGATCTCAGCTCACTGCAATCTCTGCCTCTCAGGTTCAAGTGATTCTCATGCCTCAGCCTCCCAAGTAGCTGGAATTACAGGCGCCCACCACCATGCCCAGGTAATTTTTGTATTTTTAGTAGAGATGGGGTTTTGCCATGTTGGCCAGGTTGGTCTTGAACTCCTGACCTCAAGTGATCTGTCTGTCTCGACCTTCCAAAGTGCTAGGATTATAGGCGTGAGCCACCGTGCCTGGCCCTCTAGTGGTTTAAAGATGGAAAACAATTTCCATCCATGGGGACTGACTATACGGATTATGCTTTATCTCTTCAGGAGAATGATGCCCAACTTTAAAAGGGGCATGAATTAGAGGTCTGGATGGAGAAAAAGATCTACAATGTAAGGCAAAAACATTCCTCCATAAGAAGTACAGAAGATCCCATTGGCTAAAAATAATAAAGCCTGTACATGAATAAAACATGTCTGGAGTGATTAATCAAAGAGGGAAGCTTTTCGTTTTATTGTGTATCCTTCTGTGCTGTTTAAATTTTTACCTTGTGTATATATTATTTTTAATGTATGCATGTATTTATTTTTAGAGATGAGGTCTTGCTGTGTCACCCAGGCTGGGGTGCAGTGGCACGATCATGGCTCACTGCAGCCTCAAAGTCCTGGGTTCAAGCAATCCTCCTGCCTCAGCCTTCTGAGTAGCTGGGACTACAGGCATGTACCACTGCACCCAGCTTTATTTTTTATAACAGCATGTAGCAGAAGGTATTAGAGCTGACCAAATATCCATGCACTTCACATTTCCCAGCCTCCCCTGAAATTAACTTGTCTCTGTGTTGACTGGTTCTGGCTGGCAGACTGTGGGTGAAATTGAGGAACATCTGTCCAGTAGAGGCAGTGGAAAGTCTCTGTGTGGAACCCCTAGCACTCACTTTCAAGGCTCCAGACGGGGCAGCTGTTAGATGGAGGTGGTTGACCCAATCTGATTGGACTTCAGGTGAGTGACAGATGAACCTCTGCTGTATTCAGCTACTTAGGGTTTGGGGCAAATTCGTTACCGCAGCAGGGCCCAGCCTAGACTGACTAACACAACGTACACAGACTCGATAGTGCCATTCCAGGATGCTGGTACTAAGGTCCCCAACATGATGGCACCAGCCTAGAGGGTCTGTGGAACCCACAGGTCCCAGGCTGGGCCCAGGTGAACTTGCTTTTGTCCACTGAGGAGTTTACAAAGTGGTCCAGGAGAACAGAGGCGTCAGTCTCACACACAGCAGGGAGGCAGGCACTGGCTGGCTCTGGGGATGGGACAAAGCCAGCCACAATCGACCACAAGAGGCCTTGTGATGGAGGACTGTCTTGCTGCCTTTCTGTAGCTCAGCCCTGTCACTGGCATTCCCCTTCCCTGGGGTGGGGACCTGCCGCATTATAGGACCACACCCTTCTGGAGGGAGGGAAGCCCCAGTCCACAGAAGGGCGAGCCGGTCACTGGGCCCAGATGCTCACTCACCACAAACTGACTGTTGACCTTCTCGAGGATCTGCTTCTCGTTGAGGGCCATGGACTCCCCTTTCCTCTTTTTGATCCTCTTCTTCTCCAAGCGCTTGCAGGCGTACATTTTACCCGTGGCCCGAACCTGGCAGGCACACACCTGCAGTGCAAGAAAGAAACCAGGGTGGCAGGAGCACTGTGGAGGCCTGTCTCTAGCTCCTCCAGGGCTGGGACCACAGGGCTCCCAGGTGGAGAATGGATGGGGTCAGAGCTGGCCCTGCCTGGCTTCGTGGGTACTCCAGGCTCCCAGGACCCCATGATGCCTGGCCTGGGACCCACGGCTGTCCTGGGCCCTTGCCCTCCCTCCTCCTCCCCTTCGAGGATTCCCAGTCCTGGAAGGGGCAGAATGAGCCACTCACACCAAGGCTTAGATAACTGACTGGGGCCCCAAGTACTGTCCCATTCCCAGGGCAACTGAATTTTCTCCTAGCAGCTGCTGGTAGAGAAGTTTGTTTTGGGAGTAGGTGATAGGAGATCCTCAAGAACCCTGACTTTATAATCCAGATAACTGGGAACCAAAGCATTTGGGCTCAAGTCTTAGTTCTGCGCCACATTTTCTGCGTGCCTTTGGCTGGGTCACCGAATCATTCTGGACCTCAGCTTCCTGATCTCTAAAATGGGAATAACAAGTCTTGCCTCACGTGCTGGGAAGATCGAAGATCGGATGATGTACAACGAAATCTCGAATCTTGCATGACAGCGTCATCCAGGCACTGAGCAGCCAAGGTTGCCCAGCCTCCTCATGCCCTCACATCTCCTCCCCACACACGACCAGGGTGGCCCATTTGTCCCCTGCAGGCTGGACCCTGCCCGAGGCTGGTGGGAGAGCCCCTCTGTCTCACCTGCCCAGCTCCACACCCTCCTTCCACCTTAGACACACCTGATAGCCCCAAGGCCACTGACTCTCCCCCATCCTCACTGCCCCCAGGGCCCACACTGAGCCACTGGCATCCCTGGGGGACCCCTGCGCTGACCCTTTAGGTCGATCCAGAAGGGACAGAAAAGGTGACTTGAATATAAGAACTTTCAATTAAAAACGTGAATGTTCACTCACCTCCCCGAAGCCCCCTTTTCCCAGCACTCGGTACTGCCTGAAAGTGTTTTTGGTCACCGGTTGCCTGGAAGAAAGAAGAGTCCCACACTGCACACTGGTCTCACGGTGCCAAGACTCAGAATCCACAGGAAACAGCGGCACATTGAGAGCAGCTGGGGTGGGGTGTAATTCCGGGAGCCCCACAGCAGCCCCAGGGACCCCCCCAGGAATCAATGCTGGAGACTGGACCTTCAAGGACTTAGTCTGAAGCTGAGTGTTCAAATCCCAAGCCCCCCGGCCCCCAGCCCCCTGCAAGCTGGGGGATGCACAGGCCTCGCTTGCTCAGAAGGCTTGAAAAATGTGAGCACAGAGGTGCTTGACCACACTTTCCACGTGGTTCTCCTCTCTCTGCAAATCATGTGGTGAAACTCAGAAGTAAGCTGTGCCTTCTGTGCAGGGAGGGGTGGGGGCCAGGCGCCGCAGAGGACCAGCGGCCCACAGAGGACATGGAGGAGGTCACAGCCCTCCCTACACCTGTGCATCTCAGCCTGCCCAGCAGGATGGCAGTGCTTCCTGTCCTGGGCACAGCCTATTCCTTCCTGCGGGCACTCCTGCTGCTGGCCCAGGAGACCTGGCCTCAGGAGGGGGCAGAGGCTGCTGATCTTCAAATCGTGTCCTGGGGATCTTTACCACTGGTTCCCAACCTTTCCACTACTGAGGACCCTTTATTATATTTCCCACATAGATGAGGAACATGAGAAGATCCTGCCTGCCAAGATCGGACTGGAAGTAATGATCGCCTTGCGTCTTCCGACTCCTTGTTTTAATGAGCCAAAGCCATTTATGACATTGAATCAGACAAAACTTCTGATTATGAGGCATGATGGCACTTTTTGGACTAAACAAAGACATGGTCCCATCTAGTTGCCATAAAGGACATCCTGGTGCAGAGGGCTTGTGGTTTGCGTTGCTGGTCTGTCTGGCTACAGATAATCAGCTTAAAACGTGAAAATTGGCTCTTGGCTCTCCAGGACTATTTTTGAGCACTGCCCCTAAACTCCTCAAAAGTCCCGACCAGGGCAGCGGTTGTCTAGAGGCTGAACAGGGCCAAAGAACTGGGTCAGCTGAGGACGACCAGGGAGCCTTCAGTCACCCAGCAGCTCTTGAACGAATGAGTCTTTCCTGGAAATCACATCTGCGGCACTACAGCCGCACTCTGAGGACAGCCCCGAAAAGCCAGGGTACTCTCTGGCACCCTGTCTTGAATTTGCATGCCGTGGCTCACTTCTCCCTTCAACAGTGCTTCCTCAGGACGCAGGGCCCAATCCTCACCGAAGCACAGAGCTGCCCTCTGCAGGTCTCCCGCTCTCCCGCACAGGAGCAGCTGGGCAGCCAAAGGGAAGACCTGCCACACGCCTGCCTTTACCATGTGGCCCTGGGAAGCCTTCCCTGCAGCCGCCCCCGAAACCACATGAAGGCTACCCGCCTAACAGTTTACGATGCATGGAGGAGAAACGGTTGGTCGGCGTCTCCACAGAACTCCTCTGCTGGGGGAAATGAGTGGAATGCAAGTTCCCAGGAATTTCTTGGTTAACCTTGGGAGGAAAAAAATCCCTCGACTATTTCAGCAGTGCAGCACGAACAGGGCAGGATCTTGTGCAGGGTGCTATCCATTATGTAGGACATTCATTCCTAGGCCAAGGTCCTGACCTACAGGCTCCAAAAACTTAATGCCTTCAAAAGGGTGAACTCTTAACTTCTTTGCAATCAGGCCACAGATTAAAAAGGACAATTTCTCCATTTCATGTGCTTGGTGCAGATAAGAAAAAGGAAAGCCAGTGACCACTGACAAAGGCTGCTATGGGAACTGGAGTGCTGGGTGGACCAAGGGCCGAGGACTTGGGAGGGGGACTCTGGGTTCAGGTTCCAGCCTTGCCAGGCGCTTGCTGAGTGGCCCAAGGCTGCTCCAACTCCTCTGAGGAAAATTATCATAAGAAGGCCTTACATCCTGTGGAGGGCTCTTTGTAAACTGGTGTTGTGTCAGATGTCATTATTTGAATTCCTAGGAATAAAGGACATATCCTGCTCTGGGGTCTCTATAGTAACAATACCTGCTGCTCCAAGCATGCATGGGGGCTTGTATAATCCTCACACCAGCTCAGGGAGCAGGCATCATTATCATCCCCATTCTGCAGATGAGAACACGGAGGCTTCAAGAAGTGAAATGAGTTGCCCAAGGCCCTGGCTGGTAGTGGTGGGCTGGAGTTGGGGTCTAGGCAGCCCATGCTGCATATCCTGACCCCACACTGCCACTCTGGGAAGGTACGCACAGATTGGGGTTGTGTGTTTCACAGCCAGGGCTCCAGAACGGAGCGTGGGCATGGTGAACACAGTTCCACTAGACTGCCCTGTAATTGTCAGAATCAGGACTGACCCTCCAGCAAGAGTTGGCTGTTCCTCCCAATATCAGACCTGGTGAAGTGGGGCTAATGGCAGTGATGCTGTTGATGGCGGTGATACTGATGATGGTGGTGATGCTGTTGATGGCAGTGATGCTGTTGACGGCAGTGACGCTGACAATGGCGGTGATACTAATGATGGTGGTAATGCTGTTGATGACAGTGGGATACTGATAACAGCAGTGATGCTGATGATGGCGGTGATGCTGATGATGGCAGTGCTGCTGCTGATGGTGATGATGCTAATGATGGAGGTGATGCTGATGATGGTGGTGATGCTGATGATGGCGATGATGCTGATGATGGAGGTGATGCTGATGATGGCGGTGATGCTGTTGATGGCGGTGATGCTGATGATAGCAGTGATGCTGTTGATGGTGGTGATGCTGTTGATGGCGGTGATGCTGATGATGGTGGTGATGCTGATGATGGTGGTGATGCTGATGATGGTGGTGATACTAATGATGGTGGTAATGCTGTTGATGGCAGTGTGATTCTGATAACAGCAGTGATGCTGATGATAGCAGTGATGCTGATGATGGCAGTGATACTGATGATGGCAGTGATGCTGTTGATGGCGGTGATACTGTTGATGGCATTGATGCTGATGATAGCCGTGATGCTGATGATGGCGGTGATGCTGATGATGGCGGTGATGCTGTTGATGGTGGTGATGCTGTTGATGGCTGTGATGCTACTGATGGTGGTGATGCTGTTGATGGCGGTGATGCTGATGATGGTGGTGATGCTGTTGATGGCGGTGATGCTGTTGATGGTGGTGATGCTGATGATGGTGATGATGCTGAAGATGGTGGTGATGTTGATGAAGGTGGTGATGCTGATGATGGTGGTGATGTCGATGAAGGCGGTGATGCTGATGATGGTGGTGATGTCGATGAAGGTGGTGATGCTGATGATGGTGGTGATGTTGATGAAGGTGGTGATGCTGTTGATGGCAGTGATGCTGTTGATGGCAGTGGGACATTGATAACAGCAGTGATGCTGATGATGGTGGTGATGCTGATGATAGCAGTGATGCTGATGATGGCGGTGATACTGATGATGGCGGTGATGCTGTTGATGGCGGTGATGCTGTTGATGGCACTGATGCTGATGATAGCGGTGATGCTCATGATGGCGGTGATACTGATGATGGCGGTGATGCTGTTGATGGCTGTGATGCTGTTGATGGCTGTGATGCTACTGATGGTGGTGATGCTGTTGATGGCGGTGATGCTGATGATGGTGATGCTGTTGATGGCAATGATGCTCTTGATGGTGGTGATGCTGATGATGGTGATGCTGTTGACAATGGTGGTGATGTTGATGAAGGTGGTGATGCTGATAATGGTGGTGATGTCGATGAAGGCAGTAATGCTGATGATGGTGGTGATGTCGATGAAGGTGGTGATGCTGTTGATGGCGGTGATGCTGTTGATGGCATTGATGCTGATGATAGCAGTGATGCTGATGATGGTGGTGATGGTGATGATGGTGATGATGGTGGTGACGGACGCAACAACTGCATTCAGCAGTTTATTTCCTGTGGTCAAATGGCTGAGCTTTGCGGAACACCTGCCTTGTTCCAGCAGGTATTGTGCTTATCTTATCTCCCCCTCAGCCCAAGCCCACAATGCAGGCACAATCATCCCCATTTTACAAATGAGGACGCTGAGGTGTGGAGACGTGAGTGACCCTTTCTGAGGCCCCTCCTTGGGAAGAGGCAGAGGCGGGACTCGGACCCAGGCTGGGGGCTCTGGTGCCTCCAGTAGATGTCTAGGCCAATCCTTTGCCTCTCAAGCTCTCCTGGAGCCATGATGTGCCTGTGCAGGGTGGACAGCAGCCATTAAGGAGGCCATCTCTGGTCACGCTGTCATCCCCACTAGTCAGGTGGAGAGAAAGCAGCCGTCCATGGCTGCAGAGCCCAGGGCTTTCTGCTGGGTTTCCGGAAGCAGGCAGGGAAGGGCTGTGAACGGGGCTCAGAGGGGCTCCTGGCCTGCAGCTGCCTGAGTGTCTACGGGGGACGCAACCAGCTGTGGGGCTGGCAGACAGCAGTGGATGGCTCCTTTCTCACCAGATGCCCCCAGATGGCTGTGCGTGCCAGGCCTCTGGGCTGTGGGAGGGGAGGCTCCCACCCTCGTCTGCCAGCTCAGCCCAGCATGGATTTTACACAGGCATCGCCCCGCTCTGCAAATCCTGGGCCAGTGAAGGTGGCAGAGCACTGCACTGGGGCCTCATCAGCAGCACTGCTGGCTTCCTGGGTGACGAGCTCAGTCAGGTCCTATGTTCTGCTTCCTCACCTGTCACAGCGGGGACAAAACTGCCCAAGTCACAGCCACACATGGGCGAGTACTTTGAAGAGAGTAAGGCGGCAAGCACACAGGAAAAGATGCTTGGTCTCCCCCATTATTAGAGAGACAAGAAAATAAGCAACAAGGAAGCTGTCCTGCTCGCTCACTGGGCAGGAAAACACGAGAACAGTGTTGGTGGAGCTGAGGAGCAGGCACTCAGGCACTGCTGCACTGGGGGTCAGGGGCAGCTGTTTTGCATAGCGGCTTAACAGCACTCACAGTTTCAAATCAGGTGCCTTCTGACCCAGAAATTCCTCTGCTAGGAATTTCTCTGGATGTACTTGCAGAAGTACTTGAAGATTTATGTACAAAGCTACTTATTACTTAGGGAGGGCTGCACACAGAAAAATGGAGAACTACCTCAATATTGATCAACAGAGCACTGGATTAAATCAAGGATGTGCAACTACTCCAAGGAATATGGCAGCTCTTTATTCGCTAGCAGAGAAAGAGTTCCCAAAGACAGTGAAGCAAAAAAGTAAGAACAAGATGCCGTTTACGTTTGTGTGAATGTGTGTGTGTGTGTGCACTTGAATAAGCATACAGCATTTCTAGAATACACAACTTAATTAACAGGAGGAGTCGGGTTAATTTTGTTTTAACCATGAGCCCATGGGAGGTAACTGATTTTTATGTGAATTCTCAGATGAAAAATGTGTACCCTCTGCCTCCCTGATCTGTATGGGGTGTTGTGGACTCACCCTTCCAACCACTTCCACTGGAGAAAGCGGTCAAAATACATGCTGTCCAGATATTCGTGGAATGGTTCTCCCCTCAGGTACTCGTGGACAGACCTGGCGCAGATGGAACAAGAGGGTGAACATTTTATAATCCCGATCTTCAAGCACGGAGGCAAAGCAGTATCCAGCTTTGGAAATGCAAGAAAACAGGGCTCTCAACCCATGCAGACGCAGCATGTCTGGCCAGAGGTCCTGCCATTCTGCTGAGCGTTGTGTGAACCTGGTTGGTCCTGCCAACACTTGTTGGGCACCTGCCATGTGTTGGGTACTGTTCTAGGTCCTGGGATACAGCTGGGAGCAAACGGTTGGCATTGTATGTGGGACACAAACAGCGAATAGCAAACATGAAATAATCCCAGAGGTATGTCATGAATGAGTTTGGGGGGACTGCGAGGGTAGAGGGGTCTCTCTGAAGAAGGGACCTTAAGCTGAGAACAGACGAAGACTTAACGAGGTACAGGGAGGGGCTGGGAATCAGGGGTGGTAGGTGGTTGGGGGAAGGGTGGGGCCACAGCCCCTCAGAACTGCAGCTCTGGATCTGGTCTTGGACTAGCAAAGCCACTGGGAGTTTTTTATGCATGCAGCGGAATTTACTAGTCACCCGCTGTGGGCCAGGCGCCAGGTTGAGCCCTGGGATGCCGTGGATCTCTATGGATCTTAGGCCATCAGGGCAGGTTCTGAAGCTTCCTGCAGGTAGCTTCTTTCCTTTAGAAAGTGGCCACGCTGAGTAATCTAGCACAGGCACTTGGGGCCTGGGCAAGGGAGGGGACTACGGCAAGTGGTGCACATCAGAGGCTGTGTCCTGCCAAACCTGAAAGCCATGGCTGGGAGCCAAGATGGCCATTCCCTCAGGGTCAGGGTCACCAACCAAGACCACACCCACTGTCAGATCTGACTCCTGGGCAGCTCCAAGAGAGCAGCAACCAAGCTTGCTCTGTCTACCAGGGCCTCTCCCCAGCACCTAACCCAGGGCTTAGTCCCAGGACAGCCCTCCCAGCTCCCCTCTAAGTGTATGCAGGTTGCTATTTTTCTTGTATAAACTCCATGAAAGCCAGGACTGGGTTCTTGTTCACCTTGGTATCCCCTAGCACCCAGCACAGTGCCAGGTACACAGTAGGTACTCAATTGATGTCTGTGGTGCTGAATAAGGGCACACAAAAAGCCTCTAGGCTCATCCAGCTATGTGGGGTAACCTGGCTTTGGAGAGCTTGCACGAGCGTGTGTGTGTGTGTGTGCACCTGTGTCAGCAAGTGTGTGTGCACTTGTGTGTGTGTGTTTGTACTTGTGTGTGCTCCTCGGTGCTCATGCCTTCAGTGTATGTGTGTGCAGGATGGGGTGGGGTTTAGTTGGTACTCTGCTGGCAGCATGGCCATCGACTCGTCTCACCCCCTGCGGGGTGGATGTGCCACCTGCAGACAAGGTGACAGGGCTCAGCTGAGAAGCGCCCTCTGCATCAGTGGCACTGGCTCTGGTTGGTGGTGGTGGTGGGGGTTGAGGACCCTGGGAAAGATCTCCAAACCACCCAGACAGGGTCAAATGTTTGCACATTCCTCTGTCTCAACAGCCTGGAGAGCCACTTGCTTTCAACGCCCTTAGCAGCAGATGTTTTCTTTGGACTTGGCATCTCGATATCTTTTTCTCTTCATGGGAAGTATACAAACAGTTGGTATAACTTGGCTGAAGCTGTCAGGCACGGAAGAGCTGCCTCAGTGCCCTGTACGGTCAGGTGGAGAGCTGTGGCGTCCCATCTCCGGGCAGCCCAGGGAGGACAGGCCAGGCGGCTGGGGCACTTACTGTGCACAAGCAGAGAAGAGTTCCTTGCACGGCTTCTGCAGGAGCTTCTCCTCCGTCTGGGAGACCAGGTCTCGGCCAACTTGGGCTATGAAAACAGGGGACTGGAAGAAGGAAGGGAAGGGAGGTGGTCAGTGAGGAGCCAGCAGCAGTGTGGCCAGGTTTGCCCACAGGTGTTGGGCCAAGAGCCAGCCAGGCTCCAGGTGCTGGTGTACCTGGCAGCCCGTCTCTGCCCCAGCGTGTGACCGGCTGCCCCTCCAGCCTGCACCTGGCTCAGGGCTACCTGGACACTGGTGATCTGGGGAGGTGGCTGAGCTGGAAGGTGGTGAATGAGCCCAGGTTCAGGGTGAGACTTCTGGCTGTGCCACTTACAGGCTGTGTGACCTCATGGAAGTCACTTGGCTTCTCTGAGCCTCATTCCTCATCTGCATAACATTGATAATGACAGTCCCCATGGCCTGGGCATGTAGTCAGAGCTGACAAGGTGTGCAAATGCTCCCAACCATAAGGGGCTATGCAGCATGACCCAGCCCATCATTAAGTCCCCAGCAGGCTTGGTGACGCCCCTTGGCCGTGCTGGGCTTCTTTCCTCCGAGGGCAAAACAGAAGATGAACACCTGCCCAGCCTCGAGGTTCATGTGTGAAAGGGTTTGGATCAGGCCCAGGTGGACAGGCAGGCTCAGGAGGGAGGAGGGGTCAGGAGGGGAGGGGAGCTGTAGCCCTGGAGCTGCAGGCCTGGGTTTGAATCCCAGATCTGTAACTCGCAGCTGTGGCCTTGGTCTTAACTGGTCAGCCTCACTCTTGTCAGGAAGATGATCGGGAAAAGGGGTTTCTCTCGGAGCCAATCAATAAAAACTTCAGGTAAGGCATTTGGCCCAGATCTGGCCGTAGTAGCCAGCACGAAACAAACGTCACCCCCATTGTTTCTTTCTCTTTCTAGGTTAAGCTGCTGGCCTGAGTATTTTAAGTTTGAAAGGACATTTCCAAGAGTTGCTGTGTCCTACCCAGGAGGGGCAGCCGCATCTGGAAGGCAGCTCCACCCAGGGCAGGCCTCACCCTACCCCGTCCCCTCCTCCTACCATTCACCCTCTGCCAGCTGTTCCCAGGGGCTGACTCACCAGCTGGGCTTTGAGATGGGTTTTTAATAAATTACAGGGATAATTGAGAAAATTGCTGGGAGTGGGCTCAGAAAGATAGGGTGTGGACACAGCTCTCTCCCAGAAGGATGCTGAAATCTGAAAGCCTTGCCTCCTCTTCCCTACGGGGCTGATTTGCTAAGTCCACCGGATGGTTTCTCAGGGCGGGGAGGTGTCAATCCCCGGGGGTGGAGGGGATGCCCGAGGCGGCAGCTGGCCTGTCCTTCGTGAACGAAATCAGTGGCTTGTTTTCTGTTCCCCACAGTCCTGAATGTCCAAATCCCTTCCTTCCTTCTTTATTTCTTTTCTAGGCCCAGCCCTCTCTGAGGCTCACCCCTGCCCTCAGGGTCTCCCTACTGAGCCAGGCCTGAGAGGCTTTAGCTTCTTGGGGGGCAGCCTGCGGTGCGGATGCAAGCTGCTGTGACAGTGAACACCGCTTACCCAAGTGCAGGCCAAGCCACTCCCACCAGACAGCAGGCTCAGAGCACATTTCCCCGTTACCATCAGCAGCCTGGGTAGCGGCTGCTCTCTCCGACCTGCCTTCCCACTCTGCCTCAGGAGACACAGAAGAGCAACCCACAGAGCACGGGTCACAACTTTTGCAGAAAAGATGCTTGATGTCATGGGAGGAGCCCCAGGCCAAGAGCCAAGAGCCAGGAGCCTGAGCTCTGGCCCGGCCTCCGACCTTGGCCATTTTGTGCCTCCGTCTCACCCTCTGAAACAGGAAGGAACTGCCCCAGAGATGCCCAAAGGGTCCTTTGAGGTTTGGGCATCGACAACTGGGGGCTTGTGCTTCTAAGACTTAGAGAACTTTCTTGGGAATTCTGGCAGCTGAGTCTCTTGGGAACCCGTACCTCCAGGCTACTTCAGAGCAACTGAATATCACAACAAATCCTGAGGCCCTGGGCAAATCTGCTTCAGGAAGGAGAGCTGATGGCTTGGCCCCCCACAGTCCAGGAGGGCCCAAGGCCTGGCACAGAGCTGGTGCTGGCTGTCTGTTCATGAGCAAGACGATACAACATGTTGTGCCAGGATATGACCTTGAGCCTGGTGCGAGTCAGCAAGGACCAGATAGAGATGCCAGCAGGGTGGACCATGGGGAGAAACAGAGCGGTTAGAAGGGGGACCTGAGTTGCCCACCTGTGTGCACTCTGCAGGGTTCTGCCTTTGTTTCCACCTAGGGAGGACCCACCCTTACCCATCACAGGCACAGCCTGGTGCCAGGCAGGGGTAGAATTAAAAGATGAAGATGAAGCCAGGCAGGACTCAGTGGCTCATGCCTATAATCCCAGCACTTTGGGAGGCCAAGGCAAGAGGATTGCTTGAGGCCAAGAGACCAGCCTGGGCAACATAGTGACAGCCTATCTCTACCAAAAAAAAAAAAATTAGCCAAACATGGCGGCTTGCCTGTAGTCTCAGCTACTTGGGAGGCTGAGGCGGGAGGCTTCCCTGAGCCCAAGAGGTCGAGGCTGCAGTGAGTCATGATCACACCACTGCACTCTAGCCTGGGCAACAGGGTGAGACCCTGTCTCAGGAAAAAAAAAAAAAAAAAGAAAGAAAAGAGAAAAAAAAAGAAAAAAGAGATGGAGCCAGTGTGGTTTTGACTTCAAAATACCTTTTCTCCAGTAAGACAGAAATGATATAAGGTATAATATCCTAACAGAAAAGTTCTTATGCCTCTCGGTTGTACTGTACGTGGTAAAGTACAAAACGGGCTGGCTGAAATTCAGTGGCTTTCAAAGCTTCTTTCTCCTTGTTTTGTTTGTTTGTTTTAGTAGCAAACTTTTCTCCCCCAAATGAAATTTATTCACAGACCCAATATTTAAAACCTATAAAAATAATTTAATTGGTAACAATGGTTTACATATATCGAAAGCTAACTCTAGTTAGGTACTGTGCTAAACACATTGCTTCATTAATTCACTGAATCATACCCTGAGGTATCTATTATCATAGTGCCCATTTTGCAGATGAGGAAACTGAGGTTCAGAAAGGTTAAGTAACCCTGAGGTTCTCAGGGTCACCCAGCCAATAAGTGCCTGAGAGGAGATTTGAACCTAGGTTGGGTGTCTAATGAGTGAGATCTGGCTGGAGGGAGTGGGCTGTCTGGGCCACCTGTGCCTCCTCTCACCTTATCCCCTCAGGACCCATGAGATCTGACCCTAGCCCCCCGTACTCTGCAGAGCTCAGCATGAGGACCAGGGTGCTGTTTCGTCCCATAGCAGAGGCAAGTGGCACAGCTCGAGACAATGAGCTCCACGGCTCAGAGAAGGGAGGGGCCGTTGTGAGCTGGGGTCATCTGGGAAAGGCTTTATGGAAGACGGAGTAAGGGGCAAAGCAGAATTTGACCCTCCTACCTGCAGGCGGGGGACAGCCAACTGGACTCCCTTCTCAGCAGATGTGAGAAGGGGCTTGTCCAGGCTCTAGAGGTGACCCAACTGTGTACATGAAGTCACACCACTCTCATACTTTGGACTGGCTGGCGGGGGATCTCTGCCCAAAGGCAAAGCCCTAACAAGGGAGTTAATGAGTGGAAGAAGCAGGGGAGTTTCTCTGCTTCAAGACCTCCCCATGAATGCCTGCCCCTTGTGGCCTTGCACAGCTAAAGCTACCCTGTGGTCAGCCTCAACGTGGGGAGCCAGCCTGGCCCTGCCAGAGTCCACTCTGATGACGGTCAGGGTGACACCCAGCTACCCCTGAAGAGGGCTCCGTGACTATCTTTCTGGGACAGCTGAAGACACCAAGATATGTCCTGGGGACACAGCTGTGTAGCCTGGGGTGCTGGACAGACAGCTCTCTCCCCTCTGGCTGGATGAGAAAGGCCTTGCCTGCCACAAGGAACCTTGGGCTGTGAGGACCCCTCTGGCAATCAGTCCCCAGTGCTGAGCTCCCCACCCACTTCTTTGGTGAAGGACCCTCCCCTTCTGGTCCCCACTGAAGCTGGGGAGAGACAGAGGTGACCTTGAAGCTGGGTGCACTTTGACCCGGTTCCTCTGTATAAAAGCCCCCTTCACCTGGAGGTAAAAGAACCTGCTCTGCCTCCCTGTTGGGATGGGAAATTGACCTTGAATCCTCCTCCTGCAATAGAGGCACCTGGAGCCGCACTGGGCCGGGGGAGCCAAAGCTGCCTGCTGTTCCAGCGAGCAGATCAGACAGAGCTCATGCTGGTCTGCAACTCCCCTCAGGACCCACGACAACTCACCCCTTCTTCCCACCTCATCCCTATGGCCCAGACTCACCCTCTGCTCTATGCCACTGGTTCTGGGGATCCAGGCAGTTCCTGATGTCCGTGATAACCAGAATGTACCTTTTCAGGCAGCAAGAGATGACGCTTGCCTGGGATGTTTTTCTGGACACCACAGGGCACTGAGAAAAGCTCTTCCCACCACTTGGAACGTAAGTAGGGCAGACCCCCCACCAAAATGGATGAAGTACGCCTAGGGTGGCTTCGCACCTTCACTCCTCTCTAAGCCCCTCCCCTCCCTTTTGTCCTCATCTCACGCATCCTCTACTGCTATGACTTTAAACTCTAACATACCACGTAGGTCACCTCTCTCATCTTCTGTTCCATCAGAACAGAAAGCTCTGGGATATCCAGGCATGGTGTGGATGACGTATTGCTGACCAGTAATGATTCAACGCATGGGAGCCTCGGAATTTTCAAAGATGGGACCGTCGGGGTGGCAGTCTGGTTGGAGAGAAGAGCTAGGGGCCTGTCCTGAAGCTGCGTTTGTATAGCAGTGGGTTTAGAGTGAACGGGGTGACTTGCTGGCTAATCCCTTGCCCCTAGTACCCCTTGGTACAGCAACTGCTCGACGCCTCACCCCTCCCAGGTCAGCTGCAGCTTCACAGGCACCATCTGTGCTTAACCTGAAGCAGGAAAGATCTAGGGTATTTCAGGCGCTGAGGCAGGCTGGGGAGGAGGGGTGCTGAGGAGGAAGGTAGCGGCCTGGCCTGGGCATGAAGCC